GAAGTTGAACTACTCATCGAGAGGGATTCTTGAGGCAATATCGCATTCCCCTGCAGCACACCTCAACCAAGCTAACTCTCACTAATAGACAGCTTTGACTGAGAAAAATGAAACCATGCATTTGACAGGACACTGAATATCCTAATAAGGCTTTGATTGGCCTCACCTGGGGACTTCAGCCAGGTCCTGCCCTGTGCTCAGGAGCCTCATTTAAGCTCATCAGTGCCAGCCTTCTCTTCTCTAGACTGGAGACTAATAGCTCTCTCGCTCTATCTTTGCAGGAGAGATGGTTTATTCCGAGGATCGTCTTTGTGTCCCTCCTCTGCATTCTGTGTTTCTTCTGTGCAGACAACTCTGCATCTGGATGCAGCCTTCCAGATAAGGCCTCAACAGTGAGGAGTAGTGGGGCAGGATCACCTCCCTTGCTGTGCTTCTTTTGATGCAGCCCTGAATATGGTTGCTTTCTAGACTTCAGCATGTTACTGATTCATGTACAGCTTCCCATCCACCATTATCCCCAGGGCTTTTTTTTTATCAGGGCTGTGCTGAAGTCTTTCATCCCCTAGCTTGTACTGGTAATAGGGGTTGCAAGACCTTGTGCTTGGATTTGTTGAACCTAGGCCCACAGCTCAAGCCTGTCTAGGTCCCTTCTGCTTCTCATTCATTGCAGCTAAGGCCAGGGTTGAGGTCTGACTGTGTCAGGCTTTGGATTAAGGATGATAGGGACTGAAGACCTATGTTTATCCTGGAAATTGTCAAGAGTGGTGCTGCTGCAAGAAACAGTGAAAGGTTTATGGTAGACTACTGGGGATCTGGCAGTCACTGGGCTGTAGTTAGCTTAGATTAGTGTTATACTTAGGTCTTAAGACAGCAGAGCTCCTAGAGTTTGCTTTTCTGATGCACTTAACAGAAGTAGCATGAGAACTATGGAGTGAATGGGTCCAGCTTAGTGTTGTGTCAGAGCTACTTGGCAAGAACTATAACTGCTTTGAATGAGGTTTAAGGTTATGGCTTGGTAGAGTACGGACTGAAAGATGGCTTCAGTAATGGTTCCTCTATAGTCTAGAGTGAGATCTGATGCTGGTAGTTTTGGAAAATCATAGAGTCATAGAATGGCCTTGGTTGAAAAGGACCATAATGATCGAGTTTCAACCCCCCTGCTATGTGCAAGGTCACCAACCACCAGATCAGGCTGCCCAGAGCCACATCCAGCCTGGCCTTGAATGCCTGCAGGGATGGGGCATCCACAACCTCCAGTGCAATGTGTTCCAGTGCATGCCAAAAAAAAAATCTAGTTGCTTATGGAAGTTTCTAGGACAGAGTGGATCCTGCAACCGTGGTCAATTTTAAATTGGGATTTGAAGTTTAAACAGTGTTGTGTACTGGAGTCTCATCCCTGTCTTGTTGGGAGATGTCACTTGTTTCCACTGGTGCTGGGAAAGCATTTGTGCGTCCTACAGTATAAACAGTGTTCAACTTCAGTGCTGATTCTGCAAGACCTAAATGAGAGGAAAATAGCTAATCCTGGGAGAAAAAATGGCTTATGATAAGGCAATTATGGATTACTTGGCTATCACTAACCATAGGAAAAATATGTTAAAGAACTCGTACACGGGCCATGTTTGACACACATATTTTGACTGATGACGAGGATGAGTTATAAATCTTTCAGCTTACATTTTCATACAAAATGCACAATAATGCTCAACTGCTTAATCAGAGAGGCGATGAGTTTCATTCAAGAAATTATGGAATTATGAATTGTGACCTTTTAAATGTTAAATATATACATGATTTTATTATTTGAGCATGGCAACATTCTTTGTGTTTAATTTGTTGTGAATTAATAGCTCAAATTTTAAAAACAAGCCTGTTTGCTTTGTCCTGTTTAAATAACAAAGGCCTCTAATGTCATGTAATTTTTCTGTTTCTACCACTTATTTAACTTAGATGCCTAGTTGTATAGCAACTGTTAATAGTGAATTTGTGTTCAAAGAGAGTATTTGAATGAAGTGTATGAAATTTCAGTATGAAATTGAAAACTTTAAGTTTTTAATAAAGCGATACAAAATACTTAACAGGGATTATGAAATTCAAAGTTCATGATATAATACTCACCTTAGTGTGTGAAATAAGAAGGTCCACAGAAAGGTTTTTTTTTTTTTATTGTTTTTTTTGTTTTCCTTTTTTAAAGAAAAGAAGAAAAGATGTCAAAACTGTTACAAGTCTAATGGTAGGAGGCAGCATTCTATTGGATTGACTTGTCACTATTCAATTGTTTTCAGTACCAGTTAAGATGCAATGCTACTTCATATTCACAAACTATGCAAAAACAGTTACAATGATTCTTAAGCTGAAAAAGTTCTATCTGTTTTAAAAGAAAAAAGTGCAATACATTCTCCAGGTTGTCAGCTTTCCTTCAGAAAAGAATAAGAAACTCAAAATACAGGAAGCTTGAGATTAAAGTGTCATTTTATTCAGCTTTTCAATTTAGCGCATTTGGAAAGTAATAAGTAGAAATAAGTAATACGATGACTAGAAGAACAAACACATTATTTAGGAGCTTACTGGACAAATCAATATGTTATTCTTCAGAAATCGAAGTAATGCTGGGAAGGCTTGAAATTAAAACAAAAGCTAGATTCATATGAATCACCGTTTTAAACTGAGTTAATCCCTCTTGTTTGATTGCCATGTACTGAAAATTTGGATACACATTTTCTTTAACAAAATATGCTGCATTTTATTTATTGATTATAGAACTCTGGGTACATACAAGGAGCAATGCTATTTTCTTAACTTAGATTATTGCATATTCCTATTGAAAAGGAACATGACTGTTGAGATATTTAGCCTCCATTTCAAGTGCAATCATAAAAGCAGTTTGTTTAAAATATTTTTTTAACCGTTGCATCATGTATTTCAGTACTGGATAGAACTGGACAAAGACGTCATAAAACATAAATAAAATTCTGTATTTGACCTCATTCTCTCGAGCAAAATAATACACAGAAGAAATGAAGTATAGACAAGAACAAAGCTCTACAAATAGGAGATGTTCAGTTTCTGTTCAAAGTCATTACAGGTTTGAACAAAAATGGCATGAACTCTGGCTTTGTACTCTTCTCAACCAAGAGGGAACTTGCTATCTTTGTTACTTATTGTTTTTTGTGAATGTGCAATTTGCTGTTTACATTCCTAAGCCTGCTTTGTGCTAAATCTGATAGAAAAGGCTTCTGCAAAACAGCTGAAAGAGACAGAGGGAAGTTTGTGTGATTCTCATGAGCACAGGAACAGTGAATTTCTAGAAAAATAACTTTGAGAAACAATGTTTAAACTAAGGAGATATTATCAGGTTTCAGGAAGAAACTCCTTTTCTCTTTCATTCCAGGTGGATATTAAAACTATTGCCAAATGATAATTCTTCTTCCCCATGTTAGTCCTTTCCTAATACTTTCCAGTCCTCAGGGAGGTCTTGAGGTTCTCAAACAATTTTTGTGCAGTATCAATGCCCACTCAGCTAATTTATAGACCTTTCAGACAAATCTGCATATCCTGACTTTTCCTTTCAGAGAACAAGGCCTCCTTCCCTGTTTGCCGAGGAAAGTCTGTGTTTTCCACTGTCTAAAATAACCACATTCCCAAAGAAAAGAGAATTTTGGTTTTTTTGAAGTACAAATTTCAGTCTTTTTTTTTTTTTTAAAAAAAAAGGTTATTCAGATACATAAATGCTCCTCAATGTGGACATTCTATCAATTAATTTGTTTTCACAAAGAATGTACCATTTCTACTTTATGTAAGCTTTTGAAAGCAATGTTATAAGAACAAAAGTTACATTTCATAAAGAGCACTTAGTGTGTTCTTATGTTTGGGATCTGTCTTTGATTAATTTTTCTCTCACTTCTTTCATCCCTCAAGAATGTATGTATGTAATAGTTTGTTAACTTGCCAGCTTTGCCTGAAGCATGGACAGGACAGTTCAAGGCAATTCCCAAACATTATATCCTCTCTTCCTAGAGAAAGGTTTTTGCTAACGTGCTCTAAAAGTGACTTTGTTCTTTTCCAAAATCTAGAATTCAAGTTGCTGGTCAAGCTTGGTGGTCAAAGACCAAACCACCTCAATTTAGTTGATGTTCCTGATGGATTCTTCAGGACTTCCCAATCTGTATAGAATCATGGAATTGCTTTATTTGGAAAGGATCTTTAAAGGTCACCTTGTCCAACTTCCCTGCAATGAACAGGGACACCTACAGTTAATCAGGCTGCTCAGAGCCCCATCGAGCCTGACCTTGAACGTTTCCAAGGATGGGACATCCACCAGCTCTCTGAACAGCCTGTTCCAGAGCCTCACCTCACATCATAAAAAATATTCTTCCTTATACCCAGTCTAAATCAACCCTCTTTTAGTATGAAACCATTTCCCCTTGCCTTGTCACAACAGACCCTGCTAATGAGTCTGTTTCTTTCTTTATTATAGCCACCCGTTAGATACCTGAAAGACTGCTATCAGGTCTCCTAGGAGCCTTTTCTAGTCTGAAGAGCCCCAGCTCTCTCAGTCTGTCGTTGGAGAGAATATGTTCCAGCCCTTGGCTTATTTTTATGGCACCCCTCTGGACATATTCCAGCAGGACCACGTCTCTCCGGTACTTAGAACTCTGCATTACTCTAACTGAAGCCTCACCAGAGCAGAGTGAAGGGGCAGGGTCACCTCCCTTCAGCTGCTGGACATGCTTCTTTTGATGTAGCCCAGGATAGGGTTGGCTTTCTAGGCTGAATAATGACATGACATTTAAAAGAGTCAGGAAGTGTTACATTCCCACTCATGATGGAATTTAACATCTATTTGATTCCATGAAATTAGACTTAGGACCAGGAAAGACGTAGAAAAGCAAGTTTATTTCAAAGCAATACAAAGGTTGCACTACAAAGAATGTATCACAACTTTTGGAGAAAAACAAATGACAGAAAAATACACATTATCTGTCAGATACTTTAGCAGAACTAAGAATCGAAAATAGTGAAAAATTTTTGCAATGGCTAGAATTATGCCCTGATTCTTGGAAGGGCTGCACCCCTGGGCATGGTCTCCCTGAGTAATAACTACTACTTACTGTAGGAAAAGGGAACAACTCCCCCCATTCCCAGGTGGTATGAGCAACATATCATGCATATTTGCTGTGATCCCTTAACCTTGGCAGCTATTTCAATAGAAAGATCAAATTTTAATTTCTCTGCTAATGAAATTCAGTTTGCCTGGAGATTTAAGGCTTCGTTTATCAATGAAAAAATGCATTCTTCTACTGCCTTTTCAGTGTAAACTGTGTGTGACAGGTAATTTTTTTAGCACTTCTGCAAGCAAGTTCATTTCATGACTTAATTTTTCTATATTATATACATATGAGGGCTAATTATTATATAATAATTGTATGATAATTTATGCAATTTTCTGTCAGCTCTTTATAACAACCACACGATCATTAATGAGAAAACGACAGAGATAATGATATGCTTGTATCAGGTGTGTCTGAATCACAGCTAGTCTCATTTGAAACATATCACCATAAGAACTTTATCTTCTGCTACAAGAGTTCACAATTCCATGTACGTCAGATTCCTGGCTCTTGAAAAACATGCCCTCTGAATTCATTCTATCCTTCTTAGTCTCCTCTGCTTTCTTGAAGCTATCAGCTTTTAAAGCACTTCCAAATCCTGTGCTCAGATGTAAAGAAATGTGAAGAGAAGAATCTTTCCAATAGTCACAGGGTAAGAAAAAAGCAGAATTCCCTCATGCAGCTGGACTTTCTGCTTCTCCCCTTCTGGCTCTGAGAACAATCCAGGCTCTTGAAACGGTAAGGAGAAAGCATGGCTTGACCACAGATGGTCAAGAGAAAGCTATTAAGGAATAAAAGATGCTCTTTCCTGAATCTCTGGAAGACTGATGGGAACATTTCCAACTGAAACACACAGATTCATGGAAACACCATGAAAAAACAGTCTTACATGAGCACAAGATATCATTACCTTTGTTATCAAACTATCTGATATTATAGATGAGTAAAACATAACTCTATATAATTCTCTACATCTTAGTCTTTTTAAAGACTTAAAAGACTTTAATATGTAAACAAACAAACAAAAAAACTAAGTTTAAAAGAACAAGGCAATTCTTGAGTGCCAAAAAATTTACTGTTTTGTATACTTTTACACCTGTTAGTAAATAAAAAAAAGCAACACTGCATTTATTCTAAATCTGACTTTAAAAAAAGTCAGAGAAACTTAAGCCTGAAACAATCAAAAGCCAGCTGTAAACAATCTGAGTGATAATAAACTTCTACTTCTTATGCAAACACACAGGAATGATCCATAGCTGGGGACAATTTAGTCCTCCTTTCTGACTGAATCATACAGTGATACTTTGAGTATGTGCTGATCCATGCTTTACATGGAAAGAAGACTGAAAATATAAGACTCTCAGCTGACTCGAAGCAGCAAAAATCAATCCAAATTATTTGCCTTTAACAAGGGTCTTTCATACTTGAATTGCGTGGAAAAAATTTTCAAATAAGCAACACCATTATTTGTTGCGGCTTCACATCAGAGACTGCAATGAAGTGTTTATTTTTAGTCTGTGAAACATAGACTTCTCCTACTAAACACAGAATTACACACTGATAAAAACTTGGAATAAAATAATCAAAAGAGCCATACTCATTGAAGCCAGAAAATGAAATAAAACAAAGTCTGAGGAATTCTTAAACTGCACAGTATTTAAGAGCTGAAAGGACAATTAAATCATCATCAACCTATGGACGTAAGAAACCATTAGGTTTTCTCTAGATACGTGTCTCTACAAATTAAAGATTCATAAAATGGCTCAATTCTCAGAGGATTAAGCTGTATCTCCCAAGCAAAGACAGTGGTTTAGCTCCCAGCAGTGACAACACTAAACTATTAGCAAGCAAACCATAACTGAAGCTACTGAAGGAACACAAAGTTAAAAAACATTCTTGCCAGTGGAACCAGAGAAAACTTGTTTCCACTTTCAAAGATAAGGATTAGTATCAGCCTAAGAAAAAGAACAAAACATTTGTGATTTGGCAGTAAAAAAAAACAAAATTGCTTCACCTCAGAACTACTCTGCTGTCTAATGTTTTGTCTCTGAAAAAAAATGTAATATATGTTGTTAAATACTGGTCTTTGTCTTTGTATTATGAACTATGCAGGCACTGCCAGCTATCCTCAGCATAACTGAAATGAAAAAACTGGTAATGCTGAGCTGCAACTACTAAGAGTGTGCTGCAGATAATGTAATTATTATTTTCTCCCTAGAATGGCAGAAAGTCATTCAGTGGCTTGATTATTCATAGACTAGTTTCTCTCTGCCTCTCACCTTCCACTTTTAAGTACAACAAGAATGTCACCTAAACTTTTCTTCTAATAGATATAATTAGTCCTACATTGTAGTACTATAACAGTAACTATAACAGTCCTATAACAAAGAAACCTATGGAAGAGCAGGGGAAAAACAGGAAATTATATAACAACCAGTTTAACAGGAGTTTCTCATTTAAAAGAAAATTGTCATGGAATGAATAACCAAGACACTAAATGACTAAAGTAATGGCCATCATAGATGTGCTGAAAATAAATTGGTTTAGATCATACAGAGAGGGTAGCAAACTTTGAGTGTTAGGTAAGGATAACAGATGGCACACATCCTTCTTTTGTGTATATACATATATATTTCTTGTACTCATGTACAGCTTGCATAAGCAAGTCTGAGATATCTAGCCTAGAGAAAATGAGCATACAGGTGATATAAATGCTATTGAAAAACTGTTTAGAAGTAGCTGTTGTTAATTCACTGCCACCATGGAGGCAGTATTAATGTGAGATTTGCAGGAGTCTGTCCTGAGTCTGATACTATTTGATGTACTAGTTATTAATTGAATGTTGTAATTAAGAGGAAGCTTTTTCAACTGCTGGTTACACCAACCTATGAGAAACTGCAAGCATTTTAGACAAGAAGGCTATACTTCAAAGGGGCCTTGACAAATGGGAAATAAATCTGAAGAAAAGACAATGCAATTCAGTAAGGATATGTACAAGACTACATGCAAAGCAATGAACACATGTACAGCTTGAGGAATGTTTACCTGGCAGTTCTGAAACTACAGAGATCAAGAGCTGTACAAGAATCAACAATATCAATGCCACTGGAAAAAGCACTCATGACTATCATCCAAAAGATTGTTAAGAGAATTTTACTTCTTCAACACTAGGACCTTAGCTGCACTACTGCACTTAATTTAGGCACCATGCTTTTAAAAATGTTTGGAGCAACTCCAGGGAGTCTAGAATAGAGCAACAGGCATGGCTGAAGATCTATTAAATATCATCTACGGGGAAGGACTGAAAGTACTGAGATTGTTCAGGCTGGAGAAAAGATGGGAAAAGTGTTAACAGTGTTCACATTTTGAAGAGCTCTCCCCTTTACTGCTTCAAAGAGAAAGGCAGTAATCTATTCTCTCTGTGCTGAGTAAAAGACCTAAATGGTAGCAAAAGGCAGAACAGTGTTCTAAGAACAAGCATAACCAGTCCTTGGAGACCTGTGATTGAAGACGTTATGTAACCTCCAGTTCTGGAAGATTTTAAGAACTACCTGCAATAACAGAGATATCATTCTCTGTGCCTTAAAAAGAACAGATAGATTGCAGGTCACTTCAGAGCTCTATATTCTACATTTCTAGGGCAAGTGTATCAATCTTTTCTCTCCACAGCTCACTTGATTACAGCTAATCACTGCAACTACTAGAACTAGCCAGTAGAATTAATCTAATGGACTAGTCTGAGTTACTCAAGAGTGATCAGACCGTAAAATACTTCAGTTCAGGCAGTGCAAGCAAAAGGTGAGAACTAAGACTGAGGCTATTCAAAAATGCACAGTAACACAAAGTATGCTAAAAAGCATAGTAAGAAGCAAAAATGGTTTTGTACCCATTCACTGGTAGCTGGATTTATCTATGTGGACTGCTTTCCAGCTTTATCCAATAATGCAGAGGAATACTGGGCTGTAGTGGGAAATGGAGACGAAAAACCATTTGGAAGAGAAGGTGATTTAATAAGCAGAATGTGAAAGTTTCAGACAGTTGGTGTAGTCTCAAAATTATCTTTTAATCCAGTTGGGATCTGCAAATCTGAGTAAGAGTAATGATAGAGACCAGACGCATGAAAAAGTAAAATGATTGAATACAGAGGTAGAATTCTGATTATGGAGAATGATGGAAAACTAACATAACTGATAGGAATCTGAGTATCTAAAATCTTAGGGAAAGACTGCTAATGGAAAGGCTGTAGGCAAGAAACAGAATTGGTAAACTCACAAAAAATGCAGAGAGAAACTGAGGGCAATCAAAACATGAAAAAGATGCAATAAAATATCTAAACTTCAGGAGGAAACCAATGAACATTGACACTATTATTTTCCAACACAATGGTTTTGTATATGGTTTTGTATATGGTTATTTTCCAACACAGTGGTTTTGCAATAGGGCTTCCATCTCTCTGATCTATGGATATGACTGATACCTCTGCTTCAGATGTGGTCAGGTTGCCATGTCCTTGTTTTACACAGCTCAAAAATAAAGGCAAAATACTTGGGTCTTCTACTTCCTGAAGCAAAAGAGGGCTTGCCATTATTCTTTTGCAGTCTCAAGAAGTAAGATCTGCCTTTAAGGTACCTAGTTGAACAGAAAAAGGACACAGACTATAAAAAAAGAAGCCAGTTTAAAAAAAAAAAAAAAGACACAAGCACAGAAAGAGGAGGCAATACTACATTAAGCAAAAACTGCATTCCAAAAAACAGAGAAAACATTAGAGAAAACTGGAATGTAGAAGAGAGTATCAAGGATAATTCTTAGATTTCTGGTTTCAGAAGCAAAGTTAGGAGCTGAGTTACTACTAAGAACACTGAAATCAAAAACAGGGAAAATAGAAACTTTTGGCAAGAACCTCAAATGATGTTATGCCTTTGCTCAGGAGATAACAGAATCCAGACAGGCATGGAAGTGGGAATTAAAAATGCAGATTTGCTAATATGTACATAGAAACAATGGCTAAAATAGATATTAATTATGAGTTGTGACAAGATAAGGATGTATATAAAGAAGACTATCATGTCTTCATTGAAGAGATAGGGAAAGAAGAATGTAAAGGTAGCCAAAACTGAAAACTGAACAGGTTGAAAAGCATCTTCAGTCAATTCCTGGTTTCCAGCTCAACAAAAAGGGCAGAAATGGGAGAACTGAGATTAGACTTACGTGCTGAATATATGAATTACTTACCAGATTTTTTCTTTTTAATGATAAACATCATTTTAATTACAAGCATCTGTTATTGCTTTGCATACTATTTAAGGAGGAATATCCTGTGCAAAATCAGGTGCTGTTTTATTCTGCATAATCAAACCAACACGATATTTAATTAGCCATTTTGAGTTCATTTTACTCCAATAAATTTGAAATATTGTTCCAAAAGTAATGCCTCCTATTTATTTCCATGGAACTATAAGAGATACAAAGATAATAACATAATAATAAGCATAATAACACTATTTGTGGGGGCAAATTTTCAGCAAAACACTATTTTTCAGCCTTGTCACCACCATTAGCTATGCATTTTTGTCAGTGACAAACAAAAGCCTACATACCATAATGTAAAAATCTGTCAACCAGCCTCATACTGGTTCAGTATGTTCTGACAAACTTGCATGTTTTTTCTGTTCCTGCATGAGCTTTCATGGGACCCACTTGGCTCAAACTTTGCAATATTCCACCATCATTTCCAATTAATTGAAGGTGATATTAAGCTTTTTGCAGTTTGCATGGATGAACTGATCAAGCTGCTCTCACTTCTGTAGTGCGCCAGCTGTGCATGGCCATGTGGAATGTGATGTGTCTTTCACATTGTGATCATCACTGCTGAAATGCACCACTTACTGCCTAAATGTGCTCACATCCACAGTTTGGTCTCCATAAAAATTCAGCAAGCATTGGTGAAAGTCAGTGGGTGCCATTTCTTCCAATGGAGGAATTCAAGGACACACATTTGCTTCATATTTCCTTGTCAGATGCCATTTTGTCCAACTGCCCCTCTGCTGTCATCTGTGACACAGCAACATGCAATGGAATACTGGTGGGAAGGTTCAGACTCTACTGCCATACCACCAATATCCACCTCTGCCATCATGAGATATTAAAATAGCAGGCATTACCTTTGGAGCACATTTGTAAATTGACTTATAAAGTATCATTATAAATCACACGTGAACTTTGATGGAACGGTGCCTTTATGAGAAATTAAAGGTAAAGTTTTATTTTTTTTCTGTGCTAATACCAAAATTTGATTGCACTACTGCACCAATGCAACACCCTAACAAAGGCAAAGTCGCCTAATTACTCAGTGCCCATAACTGCAGAGATAAACTGCACATTTGTTTGAGAGCAGAATTTCATGAGAAAATGAGATTTCCCACCTTATCTGATTCCAGATCTTTTCATTGCAAAATCGCAATGAAGTTAAACATTCACACTGCTTCATTTATCTCTCAGATACCTTCAGTGTAACTGCAGCAAGGCTCCACAACAGATGGATCAGAAGCAAACAAAAACAAGGCTGCCCAACAGCCCGCTTGCAATAGAAATATGAGGTATTTCTGAAGTTAAATGGAACTCTTTTGCTGGCAGGAATACTGATTTTTATTCAACAGACCACACTGGAAGCTTGGAAAGAGATGAATATTAATAATGCAAACAAATAAATTATTCCAATACGATAAGAAATGAGTAAAATAATATGCTTAAATATTCTGAAAACAAATATATAAGAACCTACCAGAAATCTATGAATTAAAATCTCTGAAACGACCTAATGATACACATGATACAAATCAACAGAAACATTTTAAAGAATATATTAGTCTTCTAAGAAAAGATGGAGACCACAAGTAATCCACAAATAAAAAACTATTAATCATAGGATACAATAGGGATATACAGCAGAACCAAGCTCTCATCATTATTCTTTCACCATTATTCTTAATTAAAGCATATTGTATAACTGAAAAAATAACACAAACGGAAAACAGTGTAATTAAAATGCATGCAAAGATGCAGTAACCACAGAAGGGACACAATGACATTTTGAAAAGTTAAACAGTGCTGCACTTAGTTGCAGGAAAAAATTAGATCCAATAACCAGTGTTTTCAAACACTTCAGAAAAAAAACAGACCTAGTGACAAGTGCTGTTACTCTGCCATCGTGTGGCGAGGTACCTGCAGCTTCTAAACTGTTTCCTTGGCAAGAACCTGCGCTCAAGAATACAAGACTTTGTAAATATTATTGTTCTGAATAAAACAAAACAAAACAGAAAAACAGTAGAGTTTTAGCTATAGTTCAGGAGATAGTGCTGGAGAAACTTCAATCCTACTGAAATCACTATCAAAACTTTGCTGCAGAGGGCAACGACTTCTCTGCCTGAAAAGGCAATTTGAATCTATGGCTTTTGCATTCTTATTTTCTGGCAGTTAAACAAAATAAGCTTATATCATGCTTCTTCGTGTTCTAAAAATAAAGCACATTATCAAGACTGAACACATCAGTACACAACCTGAGATAAGAGGGTGTGTTGATAGGAACTTCCTATAAACTTCAACCTAATTAAAACAAAGAATTATTCATTCAAAAGTAAGTAATCTAATATTGCCCATTAACACCAGATCATAGGACTGTGCTACGTTTTTAGTTTCAACCTCGCTCCAACTCTCTCCATTACTAAGAAAACTAAGACTGAAGTGTCATAAAAGGTTCCTAAACTGAAAACATCTTCACATAGACAAAAGGAGATTTATCATTCAGATTAGTGCACTGATTTTCTGTTATCAGCCTACAGGTAAAAACTGTAGCAAACTGTGAAAGAAGACTTCTCCATTTCAGAAATTTTAGCTTTGGGGGAATTGTCACCCACAATTAAGTGACAAAGCAGAAAGGAAAAAATAATCAATTTTCTGCTAAAATTTAGAATGATAACTGCAGCTCAAAAAAAGTCAGTGAGGGTAAGGGACATTCAGAAGCACATGCAAAAATCTTTACTGAAAAAGGGCTGAATATGTTACATGCTTATGTCTTCCCCTGAACTACAGATACTAACTTCAAGGGCTGTGTCAAGGTCTGAACTAACAAGGAAATCTTTTCATCTCAAAGAACTGAAGCTCTGAGAAAAGCCAATAGAAATCTACACTGCCAAATAAGCATGTACTGACATTCATAGTTACACTATCCAACTATTTAGGGAAAATCAGATTTCCAAAATAGCTAGGCCTCACGATTTGCTTTCAAAGTGCTAAAATCTGGCATGGAAGATACACTGATCTCAGGATATCAAGTATCTTGCATGACTCATTTCTAAGCTTACTAAAGGAGCTGGTAATTGACGTTAGACATTTTGTGGCATTTCTTTTCCTAATCAGTATCACTAAATTTTGTCTGTGAGTTGTCACATAAACTACACAAGCTTCAACTTATATGAAAAAGTTTGTTTGCTCAGAACACCCAACGCACCAGAAGCTAAATTAGATTAGCCTATGAAGAGAAAATAATTCACAAACAACTTCTGCTAGAATCCCACTGCATATTTAGACCTCTGTAAATTGACCAATCTAAAATCCATTTTCTATTTCATGCCTTCAAGTGACACCTAGAGGTTATCCCCTGAATGGGACAGATTTTCATAGAATCATAGAATCATAGAATCACTAAGGTTGGAAAAGACCTAAAAGATCACCCAGTCCAACCGTTCACCTATTCCCAATAGCTCCTACTAAACCATGTCCCTCAACGCAACATCCAGCCTTTCCTTGAACACCCCCAGGGTCGGTGATTCCACCACCTCCCTGGGCAGTCCATTCCAGTGCCTGACCACCCTTTCTGAAAAGTAATACTTCCTCATGTCCAGCCTGAATCTCCCCTGCCGTAGCTTGAAACCATTCCCCCTGGTCCTATCACTAGTGACATGAGAGAAGAGGCCGACCCCCAGCTCACTACAACCTCCCTTCAGGAAGTTATAGAGAGCAATAAGGTCTCCCCTGAGCCTCCTCTTCTCCAGGCTGAACATTCCCAGCTCCTTCAGCCTCTCCTCATATGGCCTGTGTTCCAGACCCCTTACCAGCTTTGTTGCCCTCCTTTGAACACGTTCCAGGGCCTCAATATCTTTCTTGCAGTGAGGGGACACATTTTACCTTTCTGTTGTTAGTTAGGTACTGACAAGAGCCACAATCCATTCTTCATCATTTCAAAATGCCCGCAATATTTTCAAATACACATGATATCTGCAAACTTTCTTAATGTGGACTACAATACAACATCATTGTGCATGTCCCTTTCTACTTCTCATACAAAAGTAATGGAAAACTTTTGATACACAAGCTACTTCACTTCAAAAGTGAATACTGTGAATACAGACTTTCCAATTCATTGAAGAATAAAATTCCATGTTTCCATGTAACCTTTCTTTTTCAGTCTTGTTTTTCCCCACACAGCTGAATAGTATTTTTTGTTATGTTTTTGGGGAGGATGCACTGTGTTTGGAATATGCATACTTTTTTTTTTAGTCACCCAGAGGTCATTCAACTACAGACAAAATGCATCCCATGATTTTCTGGGCTGACAAAGTTCCCAGCTGGACTTCTTAGACGCTTCCCCTGACTTACATTGCTTTTGCAGTAACAAGTGAAGCTTAAATCTTTTCCAAATACATTTTACTATCAGGAAAAAAAAAAAAAAAAAGGATTTTTGTGACATTGACTTTGTTACACGTTGTAACATTCTGAGCTGTAGAGCAAATGTCATTTGTAACTTAAAGAACTGCCTGATAACAGTAAATCATGTTACATATTATGAAAAGCACATGGAAATATCTACACTTACAGTAGCTTTCTATCCGGAATATTCTTAACGGCAGAATAGTGATTTTTAGCCATCCAAGGATGAAGGTACCAAATTTGACATAAACTTATACTCTTGGTTTTATCACAGAATACACCACATCTATTTCACATGACTACCAACAAAAGCTGAAGTGTTTTTTTCCGCTTATTCCCCAAAAACATCAAACTAAAGCCAGCTGAAGAGATGGGGTGGAATTCCCCTCCAACATGGAAAACTGTCCTAACAAAGACTTGTTTATAGAGCTCAGGCTGCAGAAATACTTAGAGTCCTTTATCAGTGTAATAGCTACAGAACTCTTCAAGGTGCTTTTATGAAAGAAGTATTCCTGGAAACTTGATGTCTGATGCCAGCTTTATTTATAAGGTCCTGTAGACCATTATTGCTGCTGACCTGTGCCAAATCTTTGACAAGCCGGCTTCAATGTCAATGAGTAAAAGTGAGTGCTGTTGAATTCGAAGTGTAAATGAGCATCCTAACATTCATATGTCACTCTCTATGCCAGGCCCAGCTTTCATCCAAGCCATGAGGCCTTGCACAATCTTGCCTTTCAACAGCCTTAAAAAGTAAGACATTTTTCAGCCTTGCTGTAATATCTACATGTCAACCTAAGTCCCAATACCTATAAATTACAACCCTGTATATCCTGAAAGTGAATTTATATGGTGGGCACCAATTCTTACCTGTGAGAATCTGGTGATTCTCATTTAATCCCAGTACTTAACAGGAAGCATAATGTCATGAGTGACAGCACTCTTCAGAGTTCACCATAAAGGGTTAATCACTTTCATCACTACTCATTTCAATATGTCTCACTTTCCTCAAGTCTGTTGGCTTGCCAAATCCAGCAATATATTCTATGTTTCTTTCTGTCTCAACTAATTAGATTAATTTTAATCATAACCTAGAAGCTTCAATACAGTGAAGAGAACTCCATCTATGAGCCTTTCTCAGAGAGCCCACTTCCTAAATCACTGCCATGAAGGTACAGCAGTACCATTTGCTTTTCAGTTCCTTCCATCTAGACAATACACAAACCACGTCATCAATAAAACTAAATGACTTTTAGCTTCCAAAAACCTTGCCTCAAATTCTTCTTTCTTCAGTTGTTACAATATCTGCACAGGATACAGAACTACCTCTTCAGCTTTTGCTCTGCCTAATCTAATTCTAGGCTCTTCCCTCATCTGCAATGAAACTATTGCAATCCACTACTGGGGGTACTAGCATACACCGTGAAACCTTGTCACTGCAGTCTCTCCCTCACAGTGTGGCCACGGAAAGGCAAAGCAGTGCTTGTGCATTTTTATACCAGATAAATGTGAAACTTCACAAGCAATCTCTAAGGTTAGAGTTCAACATGGTACACAGAAGGCTTTTGGAACTCTTCACTACTCACTGACTCACAGTGGGCTCTTAAAGCCCAACAAAACTTATAAACCTGAAAGAATAGTGCTTAAGTCATCTATCTCCACCAGCTCCAGTTGATATACAACTCTGCAGACTTTGGGAGTGAAGATGATTGCTTTTCAGCCCATGTTAGTTTAGTGTTAATACTGTATGTCTAACACCAAATTTACTCTTAGAAGAACTACATTCTAATTCTCTGTAATTAACAATAATTAAGCAAGCATCATATTCTGGAAAGATTCTGCATATATTCCCACACACATTCTAATTCTCTGTAATTAACAATAGCCATGTTAAGAAATACTGCGTGAAAATACAAAGCATGAGGAAAAAAATATATAGAAACTCTATAGAAACTGTTAATTTGGGAGTAATTCTGATTACTCTAATTCTAATTGGCTTACAAGTTCTGCCTGTTTATTCCAAATGCAGTAGTTGTGATACTGCCTCATTCCCTACCTATCACTTAGGTGCACGCATGCATTTCCGATTGCGGAGGGCAAGTGACTACTGGAAAAAGAAAGCATCTGCCACTGGTACAGATATTAGTAAGCAATTTCAGGAGCTACATTCTTCTGACAGATTGCTAGGGACGGCTCCCTTGGGAAGTGCGAATGTCATGATTGCAGAATCCTTCACGTTACCTCACCTCTAGGTTGTACCCAGGGCCCACAGCTACCGCGCGGCGCCGCCAGGAGTCCCGCTGGCGGGCAGCTCCCGCCACCTCAGGGCGCCAAGGCCCGCGGGAGCCACCAGCACCACCGAGACCGGCAAAGCACCACCCTACACGCGCACAAACACCCGCCAGGCCGCCTGCCCCCGCTACGCAGGCCACCGCCTCCACGCGGCGACAGCACTTCGCGCACGCGCTCCTTGCCGGAGGGAAGACCCACGAGCACGTTCTGCGCGAGCTAAACCCAGCGCTCTCCTTCCTCCGCGCGCATGCGCCAGACGCGCGGTTTCCCTGGCAGCGGGGATTGTTTTCGGCTAAACCACCTGCGCGGCGCTGCGGAGGGGGGGAAGCGTTGCGTAAGGGAGAGCCCACTGACGGGGGAGACGGTGAGGTGCCACCGAGGCGGACGGGCCCGATGTGAGTGATGTCTTCATGCCGCGGGCGGGTGGGCTGGAAAGCGGGGCCGCGGCAAGCAGCGGACGACTGGGGTCCGGAGGCGGGCAGATCGGGATCCGCCTCTAGCCCTCTGCTGTCTTTCCCCGCTCCCCTTGGCGGTCGGGAGTCGGCGGTGGATGCGGAGCGCGCTGTGACGCAGCCGTTGGTGCGCGCGGGCGGTGCTCGGCACGGGTGGCGGCGTGGAGCGGACGGGCGGGCGGGCCTCTGGGCGCGGGGGAACCCATCGATGGTGTCTGAGCCTCCTACAGTCTGAGTAGCCCTAGGTTCAGCCCCTCGGTTAGCCTTGTGTGTGCCGCTGGCAGTGTTGGTTTTTGGCCCTCTCGCTGCCGCCGCTGCCCCGTGAAAAGGGAAACTGCGCTCTGGAAACGCTCACAGTAGTCTGCTGATGGGAATTACCGTTTGTAATCGTGATTAATAAGGCAGAGACTTGAAATGAAGTAAGCAATGATAGAAATCTGTGCTTCCGCAGTGGGAGCTGAAATCCATAGTTTTGCCAGCAAGACAGCAGCTTTTCTTTCAGCCTTCTCAGGCCCCAAGCGTAATGAGAGAAAAAAAAATTCCTCAGTTACTGTGAGGCTTTTTGGTGTGCTAATGCCAGAAAGTCAGAGAGCATTTTGTCCCATCCCTGGAGGTGCTCAAGGCCAGGTCGGATGGGGCCCTGGGCAGCCTGAGCATGTGGGGGCAGCCCTGCCCATGGCACGGGGTTGGGACTGGGTGGGCTTTAAGGTCCCTTCAGACCCAACCATCTTGTGGTTCTGTGATCGACTTTTAAAAATATCCTCTCAAAGTAGTGTGAACATAAGGTATTTGCAGGCATGTCTGCGCAGCTCTCATAGGCTGTTTTGATAGGCAAGTTCATAGATACTTGCATGGCATCAATAAAGTTGGCTGTCAGCTTTCTTGACTTAAATACTAAATTTTTGTGCATAATGCCCCTGCTTTGTAAACTCATGTTTATCATTACTAAAAATTAACAGATTTGACTCAGTATTATTTTCCTGTATAATTCTGCATTAAAGCTTTTACATGAGTCTAGAAGTAGTGGTCTGTAGAGATCTTGGTAAAATCCAAGATCTCCTGCTGACCTCACCTAAAGGATGAGATGTAAACAAAGAGCTGCTGGAAGATTTCTGAATTTCCATAATATAATACAGTTTATACAAAATGTAATGTGTTATAACATAGATTGCTTTTGAATTTGTTATTCATTTATTAATAAAAGCACAGGGTAATGTGACATGTTTTGCGTTGAGAATAGCTGGATTGTAGTTGCAGAATATAGTGATTCACTGTACTGCAAATGTGAAAAAAACAGAAATTGATGCAGAATCAGAAGTGCAGGTGAAATATTAGAGAAGAGCAAGTTGATTGATTTTTTTCTGGAAGGTCTCCATTGGTTCTTGAAAGATTTCATGATTTATTTTTCCTGGTTATTCCTGATGGCTGGAATATACTTCTGTTCCCAAATCTGCATTTTTGTTGTTCCAGGATTGCCTTACGTTAATTAACATGGAAAAGATTAAGTCTGGTCAGGCAAAAGTAACATTTACCAGATTAATCTCAATGAGTTTATTTTAGGTTGGGTGTCAGGAGGCAGTTCTTTACTGTGAGAGTGGTGAGGTGCTGGAACAGACTGCCTAGAGAGGTTATGGATGCCCCATCCCTGGAGGTGTTCAAGGCCAGGTGGGATGGGGCCCTGGGCAGCCTGGTTTTGCATTAAATGGGGAGGTTGGTGGCCCTGCCTGTAGCAGGGGGGTTGGAGATTCGTGATCCTTTAGGTCCCTTCCAACCTGGGCCATTCTGATGGCTTGTGGTTGTTGATCTCTAATGTAAGGTTAAATCTCTCCTATTTTAAGATGATGTTATATAAAGTAAACAGTTCTTATCCCTGTTGATTAATGATCTATATTTATACCAGTCTAATAATTGCTTTAAGCATGTCAGATGTCATGTAATTCTGAACTAGAAATGTGTACGAAAGAAAAGCACTGTCATTATAGGCTTTAATCTCAATTTTATTGAGCTAAGATGGTAGATACTTTTTTTCTGAATGCTCAGAGGTAAATGGAAAATGATGCAGTCCCTGGTGGATTTGTCAAATGTATGCATTTCACAGAGACTACTGGTCACGTAAGATGAGCCTGGCCTTGGGAAAGGTATTTTTTCCATTAAGAGGAAAAGTATCTGCAAAATTAATTTACCTGCAGGTTGTTTTTTTTTGTTGTTGTTACGTGACTCACTTATCCTTTGGCTATAAAATATATCCGTACTTGAAGTAGGTTTGTACTTTACTTACTGCACTGCTTTGCTCTATGTCATCTTGTATTTTTTGTTCTTATGAAGTAAGCTTTATCATTTCATTTGATTTTATAATTATATTTTTGGAGAGGTGGGTGAAATCAATAAATGAATCATAAGAGAATATTACACATTCCTGCCACTCACAGTGAATGATTCCAGTGTTAGCATGCAAAGTTTTGTCACTGTATTATTTTCTACTCCTTCAAATTATGAGTATTTCCTAGTTTATGATGAACTATACTTTTAAAATGGCCATTTTGTATAACAGTACACATTTCAAAGGCAGATGTACTTTCAGTAGTGTTTTCTTCTTTCATTCCCTGAAAGAATAAGGCATTTGTGTTACTTCACAACAGTCACTGTTTAATTGTACTGATGAAGCTTTGCTCTACAAGTAGGAAGATTTTTAGTAAGGGAAAATATTTGTACCCTGGGTGAAAGGATGAAGCATATTACAGAATAGATCATTTCCTGTGGAGTCACTTTGGTCATCCTTAGGCATTTCAGATGTTCTTATGTTGTTGGATGGTTAGTACACAAAACTAACAACATTTGCCAACTGACTAAGCAGCACTTATTTAACCTCAAACCAACCCATACACTTTGCCTATTTTTTTTGTTTGTTTGTTTGTTTGCTCGTTTCTTAATTTGGTTTGGTTTTGTCAGTTAACAGACCAAGCTACTGTAAGTAACTGAAAGCTTGTACCAGTAGGGGCTAAGGAAGAAGCAAATAACGCTGCAAGAGACAGGGAGAACCTGAGGCTACCATAGTGCAGATGCTCAGGCACATAATCTGCACCAACTCCTAATCTGTATACAAGTATCGTTCAAGAGAGTGCTAGATGGTTTGGACTGAAGCTGTTCCAGGGAGAATTAATCAGTATAGTAAAATTTACCAGTACATCTTAATTTACTAGGACTGTTGTATTCTGGGTCCTGTGAGTCCTACATAACATAGGCTTTGTTATGTAGGAAGAACTTGGAGTTCTTGCCTGACATGCTATTGGAAAGGTAGGTAGGGATGATAGTGCATAGAAGGCCAAGGGAAACACAATGCATTTATAGGTCGTAGGAAGGTAGGTTTCAGTAGTTCCACTGTTTACAAACTAGCTTCTTCTTTTTTTTTTTTTTTTTTTTTTTTTTTTTTTAATTATACAACTGTTATGATTACAAGGAAGCAAAATTGCTTCTGACATGTTCTTGGCAATACCAAGCAAAATATTCACAGGTAGACCAGTAATCTCAAAAGAGCTGAACTCACCTAACTACTGAAGGGGCTCTCTGGCTATGCAGCACTCCTCATCAGGAAAAAGCCTAGGCCTAAGAGATATTCTCCCTACAGTGGCTGGCCTTTACATGAGTCCAGGGCAGCTCTACCCTGGGTCCAGCCCTTCTGGTCAGGTGGGGAACACAGGTGCAAACAATGTAGTTGTGCCCCCTGGGCCAGCCACCCCTTCATCAGGTGCTCCATCAACAATTCAAGCCCTGACCTAGCAGTTCCCCTACAACAACATTCTCATTTTTCTTGATGAGGTGATAAATGTGTGTAATATTTTTATTTGCCTTCTAGCTTTGTTTGTATTGCATTTTCAAGCTTTTCTCCACAGCCAGGAGGGTGTAACATTTTTTTCTTCACAGAAAAGTTTCATGTAATTGCTTGTCTACTTCATACAAATACTTAAACATAACATGTAAACATAAATATTTATAGAACTGCACTAAAGCTAGATTTGCTAACAACTGTGAATCTTTTTCATTGTAGGCTATCACTTGGCTAAAATGGGACTTCTTTAAGATGCTATCAGATAGGAGTCTGATTAGGGAAGTTTCAGTATAAATGACTTCATATAAGTGAAGTGTACTGTAGGGGTACTTGTTCTTTGAGGGCAGCACTACTGAAATACTTGCCTATTCAGAAAAATGTATTTAACTTGCTATAGCTTTTTATTTTTTGCTTTGAAATAACAAGTATTGGATGCTGATATTTGACAGCAGGGAACTTGTAATTTAGAGAAATACTTATTTCTAGACTGTCTGAAAGACCTGTACTCATACTTGATGTTAATGAACATGCATTCAATTTGTAGCTGCAAGTCCATGGACTAGTTGTGTTAATTAAAGTTGTTAATTACTTTGGGGAAAAAAAAGAAGATGAATCCTGAGGAAGAAGCAGCTGTTCTGTTGAGCCTCCTTTAACTGAGGACTGAAAATGCCAACAGGTAAGAATACTTGTGTTTAATTTCTGATGTGTATTTTAATAGATAGAACTATGTGATAGGAGTTTCTTCTGTTGATGAATTTTTAAGCTGCATTGCTTTCATTTTGTTTTGTTGGTTGTATCTGGTTTTTGAAGTACTGTTTTTTTTTGTTTTTTTTTTTTTTTTTGTTTATTTGTCTGCTTTTTAAAATATTTTAATTACTGTGGTAAATATGCTTTAGCTGAGGACTCAGTAACCTTTTCTGGTGGTGTGCTGGATTACATTTTAAAGTTAGCTATAAATTAAGCATTACCTGGGCATAGGGTGGCAGAGCTAGAACACATGCTGCTGATAACAATATTGTGGTTCAGAGAAAGGCAGAGGCTCTCAACATTAGCTGATTTCAGATCCATAGGTGCTTCTTCCTCTTGCAGATTTGTTTCAGGCTCAGTAAGAACCCAGAGCAGCTCCTTTTCCCGGAGACAGTATGTTAACCTCTTTTATCAGGGTACCTCTGCTCTTAAATGATGAGGGCAGTCGCCTGTGCTCTGCTTTGGCTAGCCCAAGGTCTTTTGCTGATCCTGATGTGTGTGCGGTTCAAAAATCTGCTTTCTTCAGGAAACAGATTAAAAACTGTGCCAGTTTCATCAGTGAGTAGTAGCCGTGTTTGTACCATGTTGCCAAGTAATCCTCTTGCAGTTTACACTGTCAGTGGAAATTCTTAACTGAGTACTAAACACATTTCTTGGTAACTTTTTTCCTGATAAAAATAATTACTGCCTCCTGTCATGTTAAAAACACTTCTGTAGGAGTAGTGGTTTTCGAATCATAGGCTAATTTACTTTTTTCAGTTGAAAGTGAGGCAAAAGCAAAAACCAAAGTTCGCTTTGAGGAAATCTTCAGACATCATGCTGGCCTGGCGGACAAAAAGAATTCAAGGAAAAAGAAGTCCCACTCTCAGGAGAATATTGTGGTAAGTTTGAATGCATCCAGCTTTTGGTTAGCTGCCTTTCTCAATGGAAAAAGACCAGGAAAATGTACTTCAGAAGTGAAATGTGCTGAAATACAGTTTATACTCTGAACAAAATGCTTACATGTCTTTTGGCTTAACGTGGGTTTTATTTGTTGTTTACATACCAGAAGTTTTACTTCAGCGGCATGTCAGAATTATTTGGTAAGTAATTTTGGAAAGGAATAAATGATATGTGCACTCATTTGAAGTCTGTCAGTACTTTTTCCCATTACGTTTTTTTAAAATTGTTGCAGTTTTTAAATTCACTATTGACTTCAGTAGGAATCTGAATGATAGAATAATGTGGGGTTGTAGCCATAACAGTATTTGGTTTTGAGAGTAAGACAGATGTGTAATACATCTGTGAATTGAGAACTTATAAGAACTTAGATCATCATCAATTTCATTCCCTAAAGTTACTGATATAGGAATTTACAAACAACAGTAAATGGTACTTGAAATGTTTTTTCATTTTGATCTCCATAATAATGTATTTTTTGTATTTGCTGAACTATGCTGCTTTACCTGTGTCGTTGCATGTGTACTTATGCAGTACGCCCATTTTAAAGACCATGCCTTAGCTTGATGACCGCATGGTTAGATGCCTTCTTTGTTTGTGGCATGTCTCTAGTTAAAAGAACCCGAAAGATTCCTCTGAGTTTATATCATAACATTTTTCCTGAACAGAAACATAGTGTTTGAGTCCTGTATAATCCCAGCTATTGACGACGATTGGAATTTCCAAGGAAAGGAGTTTGCTTAAAAGACAAGTTTTTTGATTTTTTTTTTTCTTGTTTTCTTCCTGTTAGGTTTTATGCTATCTTTTTTTCTAGCAGTTGCATCCATTCCACACGTTGGAAGTGAAAGTTCATTCTTGTGTAGCCTGTTAAAGACAATGTAATGCTATTTTATATAATCTCAGATCTTTACATGTATTTGTTATTTATTATGTGACTACTAAATATTCTTACAGATAAAACTTAAAGTTGTCTTATAGAAGCCTAAGTTTGTCATTTGATCATCTGAAGCTAGTATTTATGGGTACGTCTATATGTATTTACTTTGTGAGCCTTGGAGCATGTATTGGGTTGTCAGTAGTATATACAGAGAATCAGTGTGATGTTTAAAATATAAAAAAGCCTTTTGCTTTGCTGGCAGGTGTAACTACAAGAGTACTCTGTTTTTTAGGTTTACTTCAGTAGCAGAGAAGGAAAAAGCATCTGTGCTAAGTTGTTATGTATTACAGGTTTTGAAACATAGTATGCAAACATTGCCACAGTTAAATGCAACTAGTAACAGCTTAAGAAATTAAGTGTCAAAACATCCTTTTGAGTATCTCAACCATGCTTACATTTTGAACAATGCCTCTCCATTGCTTAAATAGTCCCTGATGCAATCAGAGACAATTGGAACTATGGCCCTGTTCTAGTTCTAAGGTAATCGAGAGAGGATCACCAAGCACTGTATTGCTGTTCTGAAGATCATTCCCTATGAGAAAGAAATACACACAGTGGATGAAGGTTGTTCTACGTTGAAGCTCAGTGCATTACTGGCTATTAAATTACTTAAGCCAGCAGTCACAGCTAACAACTCCTTGCAAGGTTACCATCATTTTCTGATATAAGACTTCTGCAAAAGTGATATTAAAAGTCCTGCTAACACAATAATACAGAAATATTCTGCAGCACAAATGTAACTATATGGGTATTCTGATGCTGGTGGAGTAGATGACCTTTAAAGCCACTTCCAACCCAAGCCGTTCTGTGCTTCCATGAAACACGATTATTTTTTTTAATTTGTAAATTTTAAGGATGATGTGTTTTTGAACACATAATTACATATTCACATGCAACTATATGCTACTCACATAAGAATCTAATGCTTACTTTGATTTTTAAGTTGGTTTTCAATTCAAATGTTTCTGATGTGAAAACACTACTGTTTTGGAGTCAGCTAGAAATGCTTGAAGTACGATCATGATGAACAGAAGCAAAAGCTGATACACACCAAAAAAGGAGCATTTTTAGTATTAGTGTGGGCGGAGCTGTGAATTTAAACCAATCAAAAAACTAAACAAAAAAGAAAAATTGAGAACAATATGTATTGAAACCTTGCACTAACAGTTTTGAATATTTCCTTAAAGCCTGTCAAAGACTTAAGAGCTCATGTTGATATTTTCCATGCTGCATTTAGGTAGGAATTTCTATGAGTGATTCAGCAAATGCCTTTCATTTCTTTGTGAGAAATAAATGTTTGTGAGAAAGCAAGAGAAAGAGATGGTGAGATTTGTCTGGTTCTCTGCCACTTTTGCTCACTTCATATAACAACTGTATGGAGTATCGGATATCTTTAAGTAATGTGAAATTCATCAGTGATGTTTGTCTTTGTGCCACATACTTGCCATAAATGGTTTCCCAGGTTTGATAAGAAACAGGTCATAGCTGAGAGCATGTTTCCACTGGAAATGTCCCAGGCTGCTGCTTTTGTTCTTACTGAACCTAGTCTTTCTTAAAGTAATAAAACCTTTTCTTCGTAGTCCAATGTTTCCTTGAGATCTGAGTTTGGAACTGCAGGAGGTTGCTGTGATTTTTAATTGTCAGGTGTGATAAAGAGACTGCTCACCTGCTGCACTCTATGTTGCCTATTAGCAGGAGAGAAAGGAAGCAGTCTGACTGGAAGGGGAGAAGCCATGGCAGTAGGGCAGGATGAGTTTCAAGACACAACTGATAGGAATGAAGGGATTGTAATGCAAATGTCAGCTGTGGCTGATGAAGATCTACTTTGCTGCTTAGTAGCCAGAGCTGCAGTGGCTCTGACACCTCCAGGCAGGGCTGAAAAAGCAAGACATCAAGACACAGTCAGGAAAGGAATTTGCTATTAACCCTTCCAAGGCTAACAGTCTCTATACTTATTTTTTCCCCCGTTGTACCTCTTATTACAAGTTATTAGAATGAGCTAAACGTCAGATCAGGCAAGGATTTAATACATTTATGTCAGTATAGATTTTCTGGTAGAAAAGAAGATATAAAACTAACAAAAAAAAAAGTCTATGAAGTTTTCTACCAGGTGACAAACAAGACTGTGAGTCAAGAAATTATTTCCTAGTCTACAGCCTAACCAGCTGATAATACTGAGATGAGCATACATTGAAAACTAAGGTGTTATATTCAAGGCAGGACTGCATTATGTGTGTCCATTTCAGGCTTTCTTTTTACTACCTCACTGCAAGCAGAATCAGTGGCCAGCTCAGCCCTTCAGTGAGTTGGCAAGTGCTGGTTCTTATTCTTCGGAGGTGTATCTGTGTTGTGGGAAGACATACAGTTGCCCATGTAGTGCTTCATATCATGAGCAAAACCAGTTTGTGTTTCCAGGTTTCCACACACACACTTGAGAAGTTTATAAAATAAATAATAATAAAAATAATAAAAATAATATATAAATATAAATAAATATTTATTTATATAATAATATAAATAATATAATGTAAAAATAATATAAATAACATGTAATATATAAATATAATAAAAATAAATATATAAAAGTTTCTTTTTATAAAAGAAACTGCTGTCAGCTCTGGAGTACAGGTGGCAAATGAAAAGTACCTGAGTTTAGCTTGTGTGTTAGCCAGCCTGTGTGCATTTGCCTGTGCCCGACCCTCTCCTGTCAAATCAGCTGCACAAGCAAACCTGTTCTTGGGCAGGTAGCTTCCTCTGCCCAGTTATCCTAATGTGACAGTCCTGAAAAAAGCCACCTTGTTTGTTCTGTGCTTTAAGCTGATGAGGTCGGGACTGGATGTGCTGGAGTTATTCCAAAGGTATCACTGTCCTCTGAGCTGCTTTTCCGGATGGGGTGCTTTTTCTAACTTGGATCAAGTGTGTTATACATGGACAGTTGCTCTTAGCTGATCTCCCGTGGTTCTGCTTTTCAGATAGATGATCTTTCTAGCAGTGTCCTCTTGTCTGTCCAGCACCCAGTCTGATACAAGTGATGTTTTAATTACTTTTTGTAATTAAATTGTATGTGTAGAAAACATGGCTCAAGTTAAGATCACACAGGCTATGTGTCTGAGGAACTGCTTTTTTATTTTTTAAATTTGCTTTCACAGTGACAAATATGTGTTGGAGCAGCTGAATCTGACACAAGGTGGTGCTGGTCTCTGCTCAGAGAGGCTATCCCTGCAGCTCTCTTGCTACTAACATTTTACCTTGTAAGTTTAGTACAAGGCTTGATGGAGTAATGATCTATCAAAGGCTAACAGTCAACATGATCTTCTTTATGGTCCCTGAAGCTTGTCTCTAACTTGCATTTTAAAAGGGTGAAAATATTTGTTTTCATGCTGCATGTTGTTTTCCAGTCTGTCATAATGTAAAGCATACTTATGCAGTATACTTACTGGAGTGGACTTACTGGTTTCTTTTTGCTAGATATGCATGAGTTATTTGAAAACATATGAAACTGTACTGAAGGTGAAGTGTCCAAATACACTTTTTTTTCCAGTGTGAATTATCTGTTGTCTTTCAGTCTGTCACTTGTTAATTTTAAATTTAAAAACTATTAGATCCTTGATTTTACTTTGTGTAATATTGCTGAAGAGATAACATAAAGTAGTATGTTCATCCTTAGAACGTGATTTTATTACATTTCATATTCTTTTCATTTATAGCTTGACACTTTTAGAAGTAACATCGATCTAACAAAGGAAAGTGGGCATGATGAAGCAATTATAAACAACACGTACAATCCTGAAGAAGAGAGTCCCCGATTTACAAAAAATAAACTCAGAGAGAAAGCATCAATCGCAGAGAAAATAAATAACGATGTTGTTAGTGGAGAGGCGAGCAAGCAAACAAAGTCTAACAAGAAGAAAAAGAAATCGTTGTTACAAGAACAATTTAATGAGGAGGAAAATTTATGTGAGGCTGAATTGGAGAGTTTTGGAAAAAAGATTAATGATTTTCCAAAGAAAAAGACAAAAAGTAGATCACAAACAGACATACCTCATCAAGGAGGTGATGGAAAGGCAAAAAATTCCTTCACTGAAGTGAGAAATGCAATTGAATTAGAGGAGGAAGAAGAGCTAATTCAAGCCTATCAGTTGCATGTGGCTGAGAATGAGATAAATGCAATTAAAAAGAAAATAAGGATGAAACTTAAAGAACAGTTGTCTGACTTTACCTCTGCTGTTCAAAGCAATGAAGTTGCATTGAGTGATGAAGTGGGCAGAAAGAAGAAAAAGAAGAAAGAAGTAGCAGTTGTATGCAAAGCTGAAACAAGGTATTGTGATAAGTATACCACTTGTGTATGAATCTTAAGCAACGTTTATCATATTAAGATAGTCAATCAGGGAGCTTTTGTGTTTATGTGTTAAGTGGTGAGATAACTGAATAATTCTGTTATGAAATAGATGTTACAGAACACTCTTGACATTAATATTAAACTTATGGATTCTGAATCTTCCATACAGTTTTTCCATATGTCACAGAATGCAATTGTTGACAGTAATCCATTACATTGCAGTGCAATGTCCCTTTCTGAGCTGCAGCATCATCCAGCAGAAGGTAATAATGAAAATCATTTGTTGGAAAGAGAATTTGTATCAGAAGAACAGAACCTGGAGGAAAGCATGGAAAAACAGAAACCTAAAGCAAAGAAGGTTAAAAAGAAAACCAAAAAAGGTCTGCTAGCAAAATGAGTGGTGTGCTGCTATATCCAAATCACTTTGTTGTTTTTTTCCTTTTGTTTCTCATGTAAATATTTTGCCACTAGTACTCCCTCAATAGTGGTTGAGACTGGAATTGGAGTTGCATCTGTTTCTTTAAATAGTTGTATTTTTTTGCTTCCAATTCTAATAATCAATTGTAAGGAAGTTAATTTTGTGTATCTGTATATAATCTTGAGAATTCATTTACTGGAGTTAGTTTTAAAATTGTGAAGATGTTAAGTGTATTTTAGGAATAATATAGAATTATATATATATATATATACCCTAGCTTTATATATTACTGTTTAGTTTCATATTTTGATTACCCTTTGATTATTTAATCACATCTTACTTTATAAATGGCGTATTATCGCTGTTTTAACCTGTTGCCCAGTTCAAATGTAAGAAATACTTTTTTCAGGTAGCACGTAGTCATGCTGGAGAATTAATTTCCTCAAATATTGCAGAGTCCAAAATAGGAAGCAATTTTTTAAAAAAGGGGCATTACACAAATTCATGTTTTGCTAACTATTAAGGATGGCAGTCTCTCTGTAACTTCTAAATTGGGATGTTCTTCAGCAGGTGTTTGGTAGATTCAGGGAGAGTGCACTAGAGAAAGCATCAGTCGTTGCTTATATAGTTTTTAAAAAATAAAATAAAATTATAGGCCATAGCCCAGGACAGGTTAGTGAACTATATCAATTTTAAGTAATTCTGGCAGAGAAGAGCTTATGTCAATCAAGAGGAAGACCTCTGGTTTTAAATATTTTTAATAGAAATAGTTTACATGCATTTATATATATTCTTTCAATCGTGTTTTCAATTGTGTTTAAACTGTAACCTTGTTGCAAATTTTATGATGAACATGAAATATTTTTACTCATTAAGCTGCTATATTAATCTCTGAGTTTTGTTGTTGTTTTTTGTTTGTTTGTTTCTTACTGTTTATAGAAGATAACACAGGAGTTTCTGCAGAAAATGATGAAGAAATGAGGACTTCAGAAATTTCAACTCAGTCTAAATTTGGTTCTGATGATGATCTTGTGTTGGGAGTTTATATCCATCGATCTGATCGACTTAAGACTGATCTTGTATCTCATCCTGTAGTTAAAATCCATATCGTTGATCAGAAAAGTGGCTTATATGTCAAAAAGGAACATAGGTGACTTTTGCTTAGTAAACTGTTTCTGTTGTCTGTGATTGTTATAAATACGTATGTTTTTTTCTCCTGTTAAAATGGATCATGAAAATAACTCTGAAGCTTATGAGGTCTCTTGACAGCTTATCTGATAATGCATAATAATGCTTACAGTAAATTAGGATGATGTTCATTCTTTTTTGACTCTTTAATCTGTGCTATTTTTTTATTGCTTTTAAGGTCTGCATGTTTACCACACTGTTTATTCTGTATTCTTTCCTGAGAGACAGTGTCTCAAATTTTCTTGGCTCAGATGCCAAATTAGAATAAGCAAACAAAACTCTTGTGGTGTAAGCAGCATTTGCCTTTTCATTTCCATAAAATAACTTCTCAAATCTTTGAGTGAAGTTGAGTCCTTTACATTTTTCTAATCACTTCTGTTACTTCCTTTCACTGTTATTATCCATAATTATCCTGAAAAGCAAATTCTAACACTTTTTATGCCATAGACTCTATCAGAATCATTATGCATAAATGTGGTCACAGTGGCATGATTGTTAGAATTTTTAAATTTACTGTGCCACTTTCTGTGTACATCGCCAATTGTTTTAATCTTTATGTTTTTTGATTTTTCCCTAAAATCAAATGTTATCTTATATTTTTCCTTGCTTTCATTGATCAAAGTTACTGTTTTGTTTGAGTTTTGTGGTTTTAAGACATTTTTGGAAATTTTTATACAGGGAGAGGAAAGCTGTGTCTTCCAACGAGGAAGAGCAAATCGACCACATACTTCCTATTATGACACAGCCATATGACTTTAGACAGTTTAAGTCAACAGTCCCAGATTGGGAGGAACAAATCATATTTAATGAGCGCTTTAATTATTTTATTCAAAACACTGAGGAAAGCCCTCAAGTAATTCTGTTTTTTGAGGTAAGATGAAATATTTCAATGTTTTGATTGTTTTGATTTTGTAAAGTTTGTGTGTAATTCAAGAGTGTATATATGGCTTATTCAAGTGTTTTATTTCAGTTCTATTGAATTACAAGTGAAGCTTTAATATACAGCACTAAGTGGATGTTTCAAAAAGTAACATTGGTGTTTTTAATACCGCTTATAAATAAGTCAAAAAAACCCTGATCTGTAAGAATCAAGTTTTCTTATGAACTCAGCTAACAAACTCAATGTAAAGGCTCATTAAGATCACTTCAAATCATGAGGGGTGATACCACGTAAAAAAGATAACACTTTCTTTTCTACATTCATATTTGAAACATTGAATGGCTTGAGTTGGAAGGAATGTTAGGTTTTCAACCCCCTTGCTGTGGGCAGGGTTGTCACCCACCAGATCAGGTTACCTAGAGCCCCATCCAACCTGGCCTTGAATGTCTTCAGGGATGGGGCACCCACAGCTTCTCTGGGCAGCCTGTGCCACTACTTCACCATCCTCTCAGTAAAGAATTCCTGTCTAACATCTGATCTAACTCTCCTTTTTCATTTAAAAGTGTTCTCCCTGGTCCTGTCACTATGAGACTGAATAATATATATCTTTTTATAAGCTCCTTTTGAGTACAAGAAGAGCACAGTAAGCTCTTCTTAGAGTACTTCTCCTGAACAAGCCCAGGTCCCTCAGCCTGTCTGCATAGGAGAGGTTCTTCAGTGCTCTGATCATCTTCGTGGCCCCCTGGGCTGCAAGAGCACACTGCTGGCTCATGTCCAGCTTTTCATATGAGAGCCCTCAAGTCTTTCTCTGCAGGGCTGCTCTCAATGAATTCTCCCAGTCTGTACACATATCTGGGGTGGTAATTCTTGAAATATGAAAAGAAGCTTAAGTTCTTGAGGGGGGAAGGATGGGGGGAACTCAAAGACAGAGTCAGTGTGCTTGCAGCAGTGTGTCTTTTCCATTGTACCAATGAAACAAGCCATTGCCCTGTTTTCTATTAACATTTTAGAAATTGTAGAATAGGTTTTTAACGTAATTTTCTGCTTAAGTATTTCAATTATTGTAAAAAGTGTATACAAAGAGAGATTCTGCAGTATTTAACTGAAATTGCAAAGCTAATATATTATTTCTTTATTCCTTGTTTTTCTAATTCAAATACCTTATATATACAATCTCACCGTATGTTGTTTTTTTTTTAATTTTCTGTGACACTCGTAAATGAACATGTCTAGAATTAAGAGTCTCCAGTTACTTAGCACAGATCTAACTACAGTTGTGTTTAAAATTCTTTGTGGGAATTATGGTGGTGGAGCCAAAAGTATGACTACGCCAAAAACCTGCTGTTTGAACACCATGGTTTTTGAAGTATAACTTAGAAAATGAAATGATTGTAAGTTTTTCATATGCTTCATAAATTTAAAGGAGTTGCTATATATGAGAAGATTCTGATCTGATGAGAAAAATGAAGGCTCTTATAGGCTAACTGATGAAGTTAAGAAGGAAAATTAACTTTTTGACTGATCTTCTTCCAGTTAGATTATTTTACAGCTTGTTTTGCCTGTTAGGAATGTTATCTGTACGTATCATATATGAACTGTAGGACTTATGAAAATTATTCATGATCTTTTTCCTGTTTTTATTGAGGAAGAAGGGAGAAAAAAAATGAACCTGATCTTAAAGAAAAAAAAACCAACACTTCTTTTTTAAAACAGATCATAAATAGTCATCAGGTAAAAGCAAAAGGTCCTTTTGCTTCTGATTGTGTGATTGTGTGGAAGAAGTACTTTTTTTTTTTGTAACTGTATAAAACTGAAATCTGTAATAAATCAATCACATCTAGTGCATTTTTAGTGGTATTTTTTATTGCTGTAAAGTATATATTCACTAAAAGTACAGTTATATTCCTACTAATGCTTGCAGATCCTTGATTTTCTAAGTATGGATGAAGTGAGAGTCAACTCTGATGCACAAATTCAGGACTGTGGTTTCCGAAAAATCTGCTGGGCATTTCTAAAGGTATTGTGAATTTTTAAAAGAAGAAAATATTAGAAACCTTTTTAATTAAATTATATAAAATAACTACTAGTAAGTGGTGAAATACTTTTGCATATTTCCAGGCAGTGGTGATGAAAAACAAATCCTTTCCTGCCTGTTCACATCCTTCCTTCTCTCTTCTCTAGATCAAGTCCAGAGGAAATTCAGTAAAGAATAACTATTTTTTCAAGAGAATATAGAATGTGGAATAATTTCCACATTTTATTTGCTCATCAAGAGTAAGAGAGTATCTTGGACAGGGAAAGTAGGAACTTGCTATTTTCAGTTGACCAGTTTTCAGAAAGACTCCCTAGCCTGATAATAAAATGACTGCCATTTTTAATTGCGGAGCTTGAGATGCTGCAGCAGTGAGATAGAGCCTGCATGTCGTGCTTTTTTAACTCTATTTAGGGGAAACTCAAGTGTCTTCGTTTGGGCTTTTAAGATCTAACAAGATTATTATATGTTTTAGCCTGCTTCAGGGTTGTTCGTTTTTAACTACCTCTGTGGATGATAAATTTTGACAGCCGTGAAGCAGTCCATAACATGAGACATACAGGAGAAGATAAATGGACTGCAAGCTTACGGGAAAGCACAGGGACCTCCTGATCATTCTGTAATGATTCTTATCTTATCCCAAGATGATTCTACAGGAATCAGAATCCCCTGTCTTGGTGTGCATACAGCTAGAGCTGTGCTCCTGAATGAAAGGAAGGATGGACTTCAAGCTCATAAATATAAATAAAACTGACCTGTTCTTCATTACTGTTGCATCTGTCTGCATTATCCTTTCATCTGTCTACGAGTATAGAAGTGTCTAGATAAATGTTAATGGCAGTAGGTACACAGAATGAAAAGCATAAGTGTTAACTTCTGACTTGTTCTGACAGTATGACTTAATGTTCAGAGAGGAATAGCAATTTACTTTTCTAACTCTATTTACATCAATGTCCTCTGAAGTGTGAAAATTTTTGTTATATCTTCTGCTCTGAGTCAGTCTTAGTAATGCCCTGAGCTCTAGAAATCAAAGTTATCATAGAATCACGGAATTGCCCTGGTTGGAAAAGACTTTTAAAATTATCAAGTCCAACTGTAACTTAACCATTCTACCCTAACTCTAACAACCCGAGTGTGGATGAGGAGGCAGATTTGGAAGAGATTTTTTATGGATTCACAGTCATTAAGGATTTCGGTGATTCCAGCAAATGGTTATTTAAAAAAAAAAAAAAATAAATGAGGCTGCAGAGGTCTTCCCATCTGCAGAATATCATTGCTGTGCATGTGAAATATACTTCAAGAACTAGACCACTGTCTAAGTGTTAGTCTTTGTGATTTCATGATTAAGGTATTTAACTATTTCATTACCACTTTTAGGAATAATAATCTTCCCCAGAGGAAAGTGGATTTCAGAATTTATGCTATGTTTATTTGTAATATTAGAAATAATGAAAGATTTTTATTAGTTTTGTTTAAACATTTGTAGTGGAAATGTTAAGTCACGGCCTGAACCAGTGATTGAGCACCTGGTGGGAAGGTAGTGCCAACCTAGGGGAGCTCAGGTGTATGCAATGCACCTGAGTGACTAGAAGGGGTGGAGCCAGGATTCACTCCCTCCCAGGTGTCTTTTAAGGGTTGGCAGTGGAGGTAGGGGTATCTTGCTGGAATTCCTGGTTGCCTAAGGCTTTCTAATGGTGAACAGCATTTTTACTTTTATTTTTTTTGCCATTGTTTCTGCATCTATGCCTACTGTGCTTGGGCTTATCCTCGCTTGCTGCAGCCTAGACCCTTCTACCCCACTGTCACTGCTGTGTTTTCAATCACATTACAGCATTACACACTTCTCTTTTTAATCGCATTTACAGCTTGTTGGTGCAAATGGAGTTCTAAATGTTGATGGAAGACTCCGTCTGCAATTGTATTACCCACCTTCAAAGACCAGGTCACATTCAGACGTTGTTGAAGTTTATGACTGGTGGGCAAAATGTCCTAGAAGTCGTTACCCATCAACTTTATATGTTACTGTAAGAGGCATAAAACTGCCAGATCATGTAAGTTAAATTTTATATAAAAAAATTTACTGGTACTAGGCTCCTACAGAATAATCTGTGTAAATAGCTTCAGTGTGTGTCTCATATGCGTACATGTACATAAATGCTAGCCTTGTGTGTAGAATGTAAAATAGTACATAACTAGCTATAATACAACTTTGCATCTTAAGATATTTGTTCCAAACTCAGTGCTTTGTGGCTATCTTTGGAAAAATAGATGCTTTCTCCCACTTGTAGCATTGCATATTCTGCCATTGACAGAAAATTCAGGGTATTTTCTGGAAAACAGATATTCCTTCTCATTAGGAGGAATGCTTTTTTTAGTCACTGGACTCATGCAAATGTGTAAATTCTGTGAGAGGAACAGTAAGTCACTTACTTATGAATTGCTTTAAATAAATTTCCTAATATTTGAATCTCATGTATGAGATTCTTTCCAGTCTCTTCGTTTTTTCATCTGTAAAAAAAACAACCCACTTGAAGTTAAAAGTACTTCCGAATCTTTTCAGATAAGATACTGTTTATTTTATGAACTTTTTCCCTAATAATTAATTTTTTTTGCCTTAAGGTTGCCCCTTCTTTCCATTCTATGGTGGCTGTTCAACAGGAACAAAGTAGTGCAACACTGTGTGAGCTCCGTGGGGAGGGATCTAAAAGATCATGTGAAGTCAGTTCTCTAGAGGAGAAAAAAGAGCAGCTGAAGTGGTCAAGGCTTCCTGGACAGGTGAGGTGTCTTATTTTCCTTTTGAAGTAAAACATAATTTAAAGTTTTACTACCTCTTAATAGCTTTATGTGTATGATGCGTTATGAGGCATTAAAACATGAGAAAGAACAAAACAACACTACTAAAAGCACAAAACGCAAAGATCTCTCTGAGGTAGCAGAGAAGGCACAGCTTCCAACCAATGTAGTTCATCCAACTGTTTTTCCCAAAAGAGTCAAGTATTCAGAATTCAAGTTTCAGAATTCTCTAGGAATCTGAAAGGCTATTCAGGTAATTAAGTAAGGAAAGTAAGTAAGTTAGGAAGACAGTTCTCAAGCTTAAGCTAAATTGTACACCTACTTTCAAGGAGAACACTTCAACATATCTAAACCTTTATTTCCTAGTAATGTTTGCTAATTATAATCCTAAAGAATAGGTAAGACTGTTCCACAGTGCAGATTTTCTTGCTACAAATGGCAGGTTCCCTGAAATGTTTATTCATGTTAATGTTAATTTTCCAAAAATTGCCATTCTGCAAGTAAGTGTTTATTCAAAGAGAAGTGAAAGAAAAATCCTAAGGGTATTAGTTTGCAATAAAAATAAAATTGACAGCTCTTTTATTCTTAACTAAACCTTTGTTACCAACAGTGATCTGTTTTGTGATATGATGTCCACTGAAAACATTTTTGTAATGTTAGGAGGATGTTGCTCTGAAGAATACTAAAGCCAATGTTTTTCTTAAAAAACAAAAACAAACAAACAAAAAAAAACAAAAAAAAAACAAACAAAAAAACCAATAATCACTCAAGGTTGTTATTTTCTTTGTATACAGAAAAATTATTTTAAAAATATATTTTAAAGATAATTTATTCTTATCTGTCTCCATAAATATAGATAGATGATATTTTTCCAAAATGCTCTATTGTGAACTGAGTTTCCTATGAAATATTTTTATATGAACTCAAGCTATATGAAGTATAAGTAAAATGTGTGGGTTTTTTTGAAGCTGAAATTGATTCAACGTTGTAATCTTTTAATTTAAAGAGAGGTTAAAAAGAAAAAATACACCTCCTCACATATATAGTTTTTACCAAGATGCATTTACTTGTATTCTTAAGTGAAGAACATATACTAAATTATTTCATAAGCAGATCATAAGAATATTTGTATATTTTAAGTGCATAGAAATCTGTTCATTTGTCATTCTGAAAAATAAATCAAATTTAGGTTAAATAGTCAAATGACTATTCTGGTTTGTTTAGTTTCTCTTAAGTTTTGAATTTAGTTTTGAGGAAAAAGCCCATGGATAAAAGAAGAGGTGTTTTAAGAGATGATAAAACACTAATACCTATATAACTTTTTGACAGTTAAACATTGGAAAAATATTAATAATAGGGAATTACAATACCGATGAGGAATGCTGAAGGTGATTTGGCAGACCAAACTTTTGTGTGCCTGTAGTTAGTTTTCTGAGTTCACACTGCAGCTATTAAATTACTGAAAGTTTTACTTAGACTACTTAATGAAACTTGAGTTGCTAACTCCATAGCATATAATATGAAGGATAGTCATAGCTAAGTGTATCTTAAAATGAAGGACGTTTTCTTTTTAGTTTTTCTTGAGTTTTAAAGACTTGTCAGTTGTATATTCATTTCTGTTAGACAAGCTAAATGTGGTGGAAGTTACACAGAACTCTCTCTGTTTATGAGGTTGATTTTTTTTTTTTTTCTTTTGAATTCCCTTCAAATATTAGTAGTTTTTGAAAACTTATGCAAGACAAGAGCTGAGAAAGTGTTTTGAGTGTTGTTCAGTCAATATTTATAACTCTGTAATCCCAATTCTTGTCTGAAAAGCTAGGCTTGTCGCATTCCAAACAAACATCTGTTTTCACTGCGAGGTGGAGATATGGGCTGTTTCTGTATTCGTTTCTCTCACGATGGAAGAACCCTGGCAGCAGCATGTGCAGGAAAGAATGGCTATCCCATTGCTTGTAAGTTAAAACTGTGGAGTATTTTTCTATAACTAATGTACTTTATCATAACTGTGGTTTTAATAATTTAAAACCTATTGGGCCCAGTATCTGAAGAGTTAGGAAGGGTTAAGACATCTGTGACATCTGTGAACCACTAGATGGAAGTGTATGCTTGCTGTCCATGCACATCTAGCAACTGTTTGTTACTGTTTTCTGAAAATGAGAATGTAAAGAAAATAAACTAACTTGTACTAGCAAAAACTCAGCCTCAGGTTAGACTAATCTTTGGTTTATTTGTGTACAATTGATTGTTAATGCTTTCAAAATGTTTATTGTTCTATTTAAACTTTCATTAGTGTATGAAATTCCTTCTGGACAGTTCCTGAGAGAATTCTATGGTCACCTTAACATAGTGTATGATCTTTGTTGGTCAAAGGACAGTCAACACCTTCTTACTGCATCCTCTGATGGTACTGTCAGGTACGTATGATAGAAATCTTCTGGTAGATAGCTTCAGCAGCATGAAAGAAAGTGACACAATTTTGTGTGTATATATTTGAGAGTAAAACTTTCACAAAAAATAGTAGTATCTAAATGTAAAGCCCAGCAAACCAATGAATAAAAAAGGCTCTATGTTTCAAGAAATCATTGACGCAATTGGAATATTCTGTCCTTGCAGAAACTGACATTGTGTACTCTACATTAAACTTGCAAATTTGTACCTGAGGCAGGAAATAGAAAATCTAAAATTTGTGAAATGTGTTTAAATCTGCCATTTTGCACGTATGTAAATTTTGATTTTTCTGGACATATAGCTAAATATTGCAACTTAAATTACCGTAATTAGAATTGGACTGTCTTATTTCAATGTCTGAATGTGTAACAGTTAAAAAGTGTACTACCATGCGGTGTTAACGCTAAAATCCTAATCTGTTTGAGGTTTAGAAGCAAAACTTTCAAAACTGTAGAAAACAGGAAAATATGCCCATGACACTGCACAATTTTGTTATGAGCAACTTCATAGGTTTTCATAGGCTTTTTTTTTTTTTTTTTTTTAAGTTCTTCAGATCCCTATCTGTTGCTTCTGTTACGCAATTCAGTAATGCTACAGGGAGTTGCATAATTAAAATACCAGAAGAATTGTTAAATGATATGTGTGGAGCTTTTTTGCTATCCCCCTATCTTTTTCTGTGTATGAATAAAGAGAATATTTTGTTTATTTTATTTGGACTGGGGTAAAATAAGGTGTTTTTTTATATTACAGGAGGTGTCAGTTTCAGTTGTTTATATTTATTTGTATGAATGCCATGAATGTTCCTAAATTCTTGAATTTGTGGCAGCAAGATGAAACTGCAGCCATCTACCTCCTTTTCTGTGTGCTGTGCGTAGTCATAGTATGAGTTATTTCCTGTGTTTATTGTCCACTGCCTTCAAAGTGACTCAGTTCAGGAAAGAATTTTCTTCTCTTTCCCTTAATGTTGGAATTACTTGACTTTTGAAACATATTAGAATTAAAGGATGAGCAGGGAAAGAACGTTTGTTCTTTTAAAGTCATATTAGTTTATTACCTGGATCATCACTCAGAGAGTTGTACAAAAGGCTGAAGGGAAAACTCAGAAGTTAATCCTTCTTTATACAGTGTCTTCTACTGGCACTGCTGCCTTTGAGCCTACCTAAGATTTAATATCTCATTATTTCTGAGCAATAAATAAGCTTTTCTGCTGTTAGAGCAAAACCATTCTAAGATAGGTTTGTGACTTTGTACATTAAGTTGCAAGTTAATAGATGTACTCTTAGGGACTGTAACTTTGTAATGAGCTCACCTCAGAGTGATATTAGAATTCTTCAGCATTCACTGGAAACAAAACCTCAAACTAAGCACTCAAACAATTAGATTCCACATTGTAACTGTGTGCTCTCTGCAGTGTGCTATCTGCCTCTATTTCATAGTCCGTGTACCATTGCATTTATGGGTTCATCTTAGGAAAAGGCTCAACAGATGAGTATGAAACAACACTTCTTAAGAAAAACTTGATATTACAGCTGTGGATAGTGAAGGACAGGAAATAAACTTGGTTCTTACTATGCACTTATCTGAAGAAAATGTCTTTGAGATCATGGTTGCCACTGTATGGTAGATAATTGCTTTTAAAATTTTCTGGGTTTTTAATTTTTTTTTATTGGTTCTGAATGCGCATTTGTGAGTTGTGCTTTTATTCTTTTTTTACTTCTATTTTGTTTTTCTTGTAACGATACCTCACTTTTAATAATGTGTTTATAACTGAAGAAAGGAAAAAAAAACAAGCCATTCCATGAAATACCTGGTGTATTTTAAAATGTGCAAAATATCCATTAATTAAGTACTCCTGAATTTACCTAGAAGACAGAGTATTATGTGAGGTATTAGATGTACCTTAATTCTTGTTTGAAAATAGCTTATTAGAGGATTATATGTGGAACAAATTGGGATGATTAAAAATGGCTGTTAAGTGTTTGCAAGCATTTGACATTAGAACCACTAGCATAAAGAAAGGCATCAGTTTTACCCATGTATATGATTGCTTTATTCAGTAGATATCCTAACATTTTTTCCTTTTAGAATGTGGAAGATTGAAACACAAGTTGCATCTGCAGTGAAAGTTTTCCCTCATCCTTCATTTGTTTACACTGCTAAGTACCACCCAGTTTCTGACTCTTTGGTGGTGACAGGATGTTATGATGCTGTAATTAGAATATGGAATGCCAGTGTGAAAGAAATCCATGGGCAACTGCTACAAGAGCTTGATGGTCACAAAAGTTTCATCAACACGCTTTGTTTTGATACTGAAGGTATATACCTGGTATTACTTCTTCAAATATTACTTACTTCAACTGAAGACCAGTTTTGTGCAACTTGATTTATTTCCTAGAAGCAATGTGAAATGCTATGATAAAATCATTTTAGTTCTGTTTGTAATTAATATATTAGTATTGTGTGTTATTTGGAACTACTTTGGATAAGCACAAAGGGACATGTAGTTCCTGATGTAATTGAAGGGTAATCAGGAATGGTAAGCATAGAAAAGATGTAGTCACTCAGCAGTGATGACTGGACAAATTTTGATAGCAATTTAAGTTTGTATTGTCCCTGTAACTATCTAATATTTGCTGGTTAATATTTTGTATATATTGCAGCAAAAAAATAGCAGAAGATAAAGTACAGATACTGCTATTCAGAGGATGCAAATGCAAAAATATGCAGGTGGAAAGCCTGGTAGCTAGTGTAAAGAGTTAAACAGGGGGAAAAAAGCATGTTTGGATAAGGAATTGAAGAATTACGTAATCGTTTAAGAGCAGAAGCAGGAAGTTTGAAACCAGATTGAAAGAACTCTCAGCACTTGAAAAGATTACGTGATCAGAACAGTAACAAAGACAGATGCTCCGTGTTGTTTGAAGTTGCCGACTAGAAACAAATAAAAAATAGAATAACAGAAATAAGACTGAGAATTTTAATGCTCAGCTGAAGTGGAAAGGTGGTGAGATAAGAGGGCAGAGATTAGTTCAAATGTTGTGAAGAATGTTAACTGGTAGATTAACAGCTGAAAGTGGGTAGTGTCACTGGTGCACTAACATAATTCTCTGGTTGGTGGGGAGAGTTGAAAATAGGTGAATGAATAATGTACTTGAAAGTATTTTACTTTGGGTATTAGTGACTTCCTTAGTAGTTGTGTGATTCGTTTTTGGAAATATTATTGGTTATAGTTTCTAAGTAGAGGAAAATGTTGTGTTTTTCCTAAGCAGAATTTGTGCCTAAGTTAAGATCAACTATTGGAACGTGTTCAAGTTGCTCTTGGGGAATATATAGATAAGCATGAGATGGTCATCACTATCATTCACTATCAATAAAAGCTGGGGAATTAAGGGATTGAGCAAAGCCCTGTGGAAAAAGAAGACTTAGGAGAACTGGTGGCTGGCAGGTGGTCAGACTGAATAGCTGTGTACCTTCTCAGCCTGGAAACCAACTGTATCCTGGGCTGCATTTAAAAAAAAAAAAAAAAAAAAAAAAAAGTGCGGCCATCAGGATGAGGGAGGTGATCCTCCTCCTCTACTCTGTTTTGATGAGACTTCACCTGGAGTACTGCATCCAGATGTGGAGTCCTCACTATTGGAGAGACATGGACCTGTTGGAGCGTGTCCAGAGGAGGGCCACAAAAATGATCCAAATGATGGAACTCCTCTCCTATGAGTACAGGCTGTGAGAGCTAGGGCTGTTCAGATTGGAGAAGGCTCATAGGAGACCTGAGAGCAACCTTTTGGTATCTGAAAGGAGGCTGTAAGCAAAAAACGGACTGACTCTTTAGCAGGATCTGTGGTGGAAGAACAAGGTTTCAAACCTTGTGAAAGGAAATGGTTTCAAACTGAAGGAGGGAAGATGGAGACTGAATATAAGGAAAAAGGTGTTGTTTTTTGTTGTTGTTTTTTAACTATAAGGGTTGTGAAGCACTGGAGCTGGTTGCCCAGAGATATAGGTGACCTGTCCCTGAAGATATGCAGGGACAGACTGGAGGGGACTCTAAGCAACCTGATCTAGCTGTAGGTGTCCTTGTTCATTGGAGGAGGGTTGGACTACGTGACCTTTAAATGTTCCTTCCAACTCATGATTCTCTGTAACACTCACTGAGCTATGAATGTTCATTTTTAGCATATGAATAGAAAATGAATGAATTTAATAAAATTTTTAGCATCCTAGTGTCTAACTTATTTGCTAAATCTAGTATAAGCAAAATGTATTTTGTACTGATTATGTCATAGCAAAACATGAAGTAATTTGTTTTTGCCTATTTCTGAAAATAATAGAAGCTTTCTTTTTGTTCATAACTCCTTGTCTTTATTTGTTCTTTTGTATGCTTTTCTGAGACGATATTTTTATTTCACAGGGCTCCACATGTTCTCAGGAGATAGTTCAGGACTGATAATAGTTTGGGATACATCTGTGAAAGGAAGTTCTCAATGCCTGTTTCAACACTGGAGAATTAATAAAGTATACAGGTTTCTTAAACTAGCATTGTAATTTTTATGTAAAGTGTTGCAAATCTAGTCACTTGATTAGAATTCACTGTTTAACTGGAAATAACTTGTTAACAATACAAAATCATGTTGTGATTCATTGACAGCATTTTTGAATTATTTCACATGTTTAATTTTGGCATATAAAACATGAAAATGCTTGAGGTTTAATAATGTCATATTAACAGATATATGTGAATTCATTAGATTTATTCACTAGAGAAAACAGCACAGTCACCTTTGTTAATATCTTTGAGGCCTAGTGTTCAGTCAGTGTTTCTGTCATCAGCTGTGTTTCAGAAGCTCACTCGTAATAGAATCTGCCTTGTGGTTACGAAAGGCTGATTGCTTAGGGATCTAGGATCAAACATTTTCCTTAACCGAATAGAGTGAAGAGAGCAGGAAAAGAGCAATGGAAGAGAAAAAAGAATAATAATGTTTACAAACTTGAGTATTAAAACACAACTTCTTCTCATCTTTCTGTAGGAAATAAAAGAAAATGATCTTAAAGGAATTCCAATAAATCATTTGGAGGTGCATCCAAATGGAAGACGTTTATTAATCCATGCCAAAGACAGTACCCTGAGAATTACTGATCTCAGAATGTAAGTAGATTTGGGTATTACTGTATAGTTACTTTTATTTTAAAATTTTCCTAGTGGAGAAATTAGATTCCATAAAACTGCTAGATGTATGATTGTGAAGAAGAAAGATGTCCTAATTATTAAAGGTTAGAAATATTCGTGTTGGAAAATCGTCTCAAAACACTGTTGTATTTTGTAGGCCTTCTGTGTGAGGTTGGGTATGCCTTTTAGAATAAAATTGCTAAAAATTACTAGATGTCTTAAGCTCCAGAGTCAACATGAAAAATAACACTCTAATCTCCTGAAGATTGCATTCCCTTTTAGAAATGAAATCTAGGCCTGAGAGTAACTTTGAAATTTTAACATTCATGTATTTCTCTTAGTTTCATATTGGGAAGTGCCTGGAAAAGTGTTTTCATGTGAAAAGTATAATGAAGATTGTCATCATATATATTGTATAATGCAATTATGTACATATTATGGTTGTTTTGAGCAGGTGGTGAGATTTTTTTAAACCTAATTCTTGATTACTTTCTTCTTTTAATAGTTGTGAATGTAATGCTCTACTAATAGATTGCAAGAAATGAGGTTGACAAAATCACTGGAGTTAGTGAGGTTGGATGGGACCTGAAGAGTGTCTAACTCAACCCCACTAATCAAAGGACAAGAGTAGGTTGCTCAGGGCATTGTCCAATTGTGTTTTGAATGTCTCCAAAGAATAAAAGTCCGTGACTTCTGTAAGCAGCATGGTCTAGTGTTTGTACATATTCAAAGTATGAAGAAAAAAAAAGCTTAGGTTGTAAATGGAATATCATATATTTCAGCTTGTGGCAGCATGAGAAACTTGTAATGGCCTACTTCCTCCAGAGATCTCACTACTGGATGTATTGGATTGTGTGTTTGAGCTAGCTGAAGGCTTTCTAGTCCTAAAAGTGACTCTTTATTTGTTACTGTAAATGGTAAATTATAATGACTGTGCTAGAAGGTTAAACTCAATGAAAGCCTGAAATCCGTAGATGAACTGAAATAACTTGTAGCCTTTATTTTAAAGTTGATGTTGATGTCCTATCAGAACCATTTCAGAATCATGAAGAGAGTTTAGTTTCAGAGAGAAAATTGGAGATGCATATTTAATCTCTATAAGGAGTTAATGTGATATGCAATTGCACAATTGTTTTAAGTCGTCTTATCAGTAGAATACAGCACACCTTTAGCCATGTATTCCTAGTATTTTCTGTTTATCAGCTCTAGAGATCTTTGCAGGGTAAGTCAGATCAGTGAACTGATCCAGCTGAAAATCAACCTACAAAAGCAAATGATTAATATTAATTTAAATCAGTTATCTAATCTAACTCATCTGATAGCTGCTAATACACTAGAGAAATGAGGTAGAGCCTGGGAAAATAAGGGTGGAGAGGTTAGCAGCAGGACTACTGCTTTGACCACAGCCCAGTTACACTGGCTTAAATCTATCAATAAACCACAGAGTCAGATACCCAGGAATGATAAGTTTGCATGTCATCATTAACTCTTCATTCCGTGCATGAGAAAAGAGGGGGTGGAGGTCACAGATCAGCACAATTCACTTTGGCGGCTAGTTGTTCTGAACCGTCCTCTTTCAATTTTTTTATTTTTATCTTTTTCGACAATGCTGTCCTGTCACTCAGGTATGTGATCAGCATTTTGGTTCGGACATTAGGGTTTCTTTCATATACAGGTTAGTTTCACATCATATAGAGCGTCTCAGAGATACTGTCTTTCTGTTCACACAACCTAAACTCTCGCTTGGGAAAATATGTTCTTGCAATATGATCTTCAAAGCATCCAAAGATTGCCAAACGTAGTCATATCTCAGATATATTTATTCAGAATATTGTTAAAAGTAATGCTCTGTCTTGTAATATAAATCACATTGCAGTTCTCCCAGCATATGTCCATTGCTTCTGCAGTAACCTTTTAAAAATTACTGTCCTCTTTGAGGGCTGTTTTTAGCCTATAACTATTTTTCTTGCCTCAAAATCTGCATCACAATATAATTTCTTTCTTCACTTTGCACTTCTATACCTCTTCTAGCTGTATGTGATGTTGGAGGTCTCTTGCAAGCTGGGCTGCTGGTTTAAATCCTCTTGCCAGTTCTGTCTTACATGATGCTTACAACTTATTTAACAAACTAGTTCATTTTTAGATCATTATGACTATGCTGACCAGTAGTTTCTCAGTGATGAAGATTCCTACTCTTAAATAGGAAAATGATATTAAAATATTAACATCAACAGTAAAAGATGTTTGTCTAAAATTTGTTGATTCTTCTGCTGCTTTTGTAATGAAGTAAATAATAGCTTGAAAAGTGTAACGGGAGATGCTAGATAAATTTACGCATTACTGAGTTGCAGTTAAACTCAAAAAGCATAATGAAAATATATTTGGCAGAGCTTGGAATAATAGTACTAATTTCCACATTTGCTTTGAAGCCCTGAATCAAGAAAATTTGAATACCTATATCTGTATCTATTCTCTATATCTAAGTATATACTTTTTTTTTTTTTTTAATGAAAGATAAAAATATACATGTGTAATTTCAAGTTCATTAAAAAAGTAGGGAAAATGAAGGGTAAGAGTTGCACTCAGCAAGAAGTGGGTGCTTGTATATTTACTTGAGAATCACTGTTTATTTTTCTGAGATACAGGAAGGAACTGAGACAAGAAGTTGTCTAAAATGGAAGTATTTTCTACATTTACAGACTATTCTTTATTTTCAGCTTGGCTACAAAGAAGTATATAGGTGCTACAAATTACAGAGAGAAGATTCACAGCACTTTAACACCATGTGGTACGTTTCTTTTTTCTGGAAGCGAAGATGGAAAAGCTTATGTGTGGAATCCAGAGACAGGTAATTGTCTTACGATTTTAACTGAATTTGTCAAGATTGAGAGGAAAGGATTCTCTAAGCTTTACTGAAACGCTTTTGATATCAGGTGAAACCATCAGTAAGATGTTCTTAAATCTTGGAGCCTTAGCTCCATCTTTTCAGTAGTTGTCATTAATTTCTAATATCTAATTCTTTAGAGGAAACAAATAGGCAGAGATAGAATTTGTGGTATTCAGCAGGAGTGGAGCACCTTAAGCCGAGCTGCAGTTCCACAGCTCATGTGTGCAGATAAGCATCTTGAAATACACAAAAATGTTTTAAGTCAAATCAGTTATTTTGTTGATTGTTTTGATTTGTGTTTGGGTGGTTGTTGTGCTTTTTCTTTTTTAATTTGGGGATTAGGCTTTTGTTGTACAACACGTTTCTCATTTCCCAGGGCTGATCTGAGATTCTGAGTGTGTTAGGCCTTTGGAGTAAATTCATAAATTATTCCTCAGACTTAATAATTTTAAAATAACTTTACTACCAAAATATTTCTGGAATATATCTAGATGAGAAAAGATAAAGACTTTGTAATCTTGACTGTATGAGGTAATAGCGAAAAAAAAAAACAACCCAGCAGTAGGTAACAAGCGCTCTCTAGTTTTCTTGACAAAAACTTGTCCTTGATTATGATGTGAAGAATTTTTTAAAAGGAAAAATGCTAAGTCATTTAAAACTGGTAGCTAGCCAACAGTTTCATTTTGGTTTTCTTTCCATGTTTCCAACTTGATCAGCTCACATCCATGCCACTACATGATTTGTCTCAAAACTTAATATAAGTAGATAAATATGATACGGGAGAGAGAGACTGTGTTAATATATTTTCATTCAGCTTTCACTCTTTCTTACTTAATGTACCATGTATATATTCACACACAATGTACACAGTGTGATCATCTGAAGCGCAAATTTTATTTCATTTTTTAATAACGTTTACATCTACAACTAAGATAGATATCAGTGGTGAAATAAAAGCACAAGCTTTTATTTCATTACATGTGCTATGTAACACCACCTTTCCAGAACTTGCTTAACAGAACAGCACAATTCAGCTAACCTGATGCATCCTCTGGGGTTTCCTGTAGCTGTTGCAACACCACTAACCTTTCTGACTTCTTGAATAACTCAAAAGCTTGCAGTGCTTTTTGTTTGTTTAGTCATGTGATACCTTTCAATAAGGAAATTATATGAAGAATGTTTATTTAGAGTAGTGGCCAGTACATTTAAAAAATATGAGCCTTAACCAATTCAAGTAGTAGTATACTCTCTAAGTACCTGATTTTTTTTCTATCCTACAGTAATATATCATTTTAGTTGTTCAGCTGAATGTTTGACTCTATTTTAATAGTGTAGGAATAATTTAGCTTACAGCTTCAGAATCATTACCTACTTCAAAAAGGTAAACAAAGTCTTTAAGTGTTTTGGCACTCTGCAAAATACTGCAGTTACTCTGCTGTATCAGATACATTTCCATGATACCAATGACTTTGTTTCACTTCTGCAGGAGATCAGGTGGCAATATATTCTGAACTTTCCTTCACATCTCCACTTCGTGACGTTGCCTTTCATCCACATGAACATATGGTGTCATTTTGTGCCTTTGGTCAAAACCAACCAATACTTGTATATATTTATGATTATAAAGGTACAGTACAAACTCTCTTTATACGTATGCATGTAATTTGAATATGGTGTGTATTCCATATGAATATGGAGTTTTGAGATGGTGAAGGGCCTGCAGCATCTCTCCTATGGAGAAAGGCTGAGTGAACTGGGTCTGTTCAGCCTTGAGAAAAGGAGACTGAGAGGGGACCTGATCCAGGTCTATAAATGTCTAAGGTGTGGGGGGCAGAATGGCGAGGCCGGACTCTTTTCAGTGGTGAGTGGAGACAGGACAAGGGGAAACGGCTGGAAACTGCAGCACAGGAAGTTCCACACAAATGTGCGCAAGAACTTCTTTACAGTGAGGTGACGGAGCACTGGAACAGGCTGCCCAGGGAGGTGGTGGAGTCTCCTTCTCTGGAGATGTTCAAGACCTGCCTGGATGCCTACCTGTGCGACCTGCTGTAGGGAGCCTGCTTTGGCAAAGGGGTTGGACTCGATGATCTCTAGAGGTCCCTTCCAACCCCTACAATTCTGTGATTCTGTGGTTGTCATTTTTCTTTACTTCAGTAGTTATTTGCATAGTGTTTGTACTTCTTTTGAAGAAAAAAAAAAAAAAAAAGGTCAATTGATGATAGTAAATATCCTTATTCAGGGAGATACCAAAACATGACTGGACTTAAGCTGGAACAGGAAATTGAATTAGACACCAGAGGTCTTTCTACTTCAATGATATGTTATTGTGTGATTCTCTAACAGCACTTCTTGGTGTTTAGGCAGCATTGTGCAAATACACTGATCACTCTGAAAGTAATGCCTCCTGTTTATTTCCATGAAAACTGCAACAGGTACAAAGAGCACAATAACACTATTTGATAGAGCAAATTCTCAGCTACAGAACACTTATTTTTCAACTTAGTCACCAGCATTAGCAATGCATTTTCATTACTGATGAACAAGCACCAGTGTTCTGTGCTTGTGAAAATCTGCACCAGTGGAAGTGACCCATTGATTCACAAGTGCTGTGACTGCACTGTTGCTTGGAAAATGTTGCCCCATGTTCATCTTTCATCAATCCAAACGTATGGAAGTCAGAATGCACCGAATCCAGACTATACAGTGAGTGTGGTAAGACAGTCCGCAGTTGCCAAGATTGGCAATTTGCTCTTCAGATGGGTATGGGGCCTGTTGTTGTGTTGCAAGAGAAAGGTTGTCTTAAGTTTGAACATTCAGTTTAGTCAGTATCTCAGTGTAGCTGTCAGAGTTCATGGTTTGTCTGGGTACAGGAAAAGGATTACCCCTTTACTATCCCACAGGACAATGCACATCACTTCACCTGCTGAAGGCTGTATCTTGAACTTTTACTTCAATGTGGAATTCATGTCACTACTTGGTATACAACTGTTTTGACTCCTGCTTAGACTGGTGACACTGTGTCTCTTGACTGGTAATGATGCAATCCAGGAAACTGTCATCTTCCACCTAGTATTAGTTCAATAGCTCCTGACAAACTTGCATAGGGAAATCTTTTTTTTCCTGTGTGATCATGTGTAGAGCCCACGTGGCATAAGCTTTGCAGTATTCAAATATGACCACCATTCTTTCCAATGCGTTGAAGTTGATCTGCAGTTCTATATGCAGTTTCCTGGTTGTAATGTGTCAATTCACACAGATGAGCTGATCTAGACATTCTTCTGGTGTAACAACAATGTCTGGCCACCTGGAATTTGGCACGCAACACTCACTACCTCACATCTGCTCTTTGGTCTCTGTAAGCATACAGCAAGTGTCATAGAATCACTAAGGTTTGAAAAGACCTCTAAGTAGATCTTACATTCCAGTCATCCACCTACCACCATTATTTCCTCATTGAGCCATATCACTTAGTTCCACGTCTAAGCATTTCTTGAACACCTCTTGGGATGGTGACTTAACCACCTCCCTGAGCAGCCTGTTGCAGCACCTGGCTGCTCTTTTGGAGAAGAAATTTTTTTTAATAGCAATAGGACTAGAGTTAATGGCTTCAAGTTGTGCTGGGGAAATTCAGGTTGGATGTTAGGAAAGGTATTGGTGGTAAGTGAAAGTTGGACTACATGATCTTAGAGCTCTTTTCCAACCTTGGTGATTCTGTGATTCTAAATGTCCAACCTGAACCTCCCCAGTGTATCTTGAGGCCATTTCCTCTAGTTCTATTGCTAGTTATTGTGAAGAGGAAGCCAACACTTCACCACAACCTCCTTTCAGGTAGTTGTAGAATCCACCCCTGAGCCTCATCCTCTCCAGACTGAACAATCCTAGTTTCCTGAGCTCTCACCAGCACAGTTGTCCTTCTCTGGATGCACTCCAGGGCCTTGATGTCTTTCCTTTAATGAGGGGCAGAAAACTGAATATAGTATTTGAGGTGCAACCTCACCAAAGCTGAGTACAGGAGGATGATCACCTCTCTGCTCCTGCTGGCTACACTATTTCTGAGGCAAGTCAGGAGGCCATTGGTTGATGAATGTCAGTGGGTGTCATTTTTTCTACACAGAGGAATTCCATTCCATGCTTTGTTTTATATACACTTCCATGTCAGGTGCCATTTTGTCAGACTGCCCCTCTGTCTGTTACATGGCAACAAAATGTAACAGGATGTTAGCAGGAAGGTTCAGCTTCTACTGCAGTACCACCAACATCCACCTCTGATATCTTGGTCCAGCATAATAGAATAGGAGGCATTATTTTCAGAGCACCTTTTGTATTACTTAAAATCCCCTTGTCAATGTCAAGGTGGATTATGAAGCCAGAAAATAACATTGTTCTGAGAATTAGTGAACAGCTTAAAAATTCTCAGTATTTCATATTAGGCTTTGTTACTAAATAATTCTTAGTAGCATAGAAGATAACTGATATGAGATCATATAGATTTTTTTAATTAATGTTAAGCTTCTGATGTGAATATGTGGCAGACAATGTTTATTTCTCATGTTATCTACTTGTTAAAGAGAAGATGGTCAGAAATGCTAGCTGTGAGTTTGTGGTCTGCAGAACAAAATCCAGACTGTCCATTGCACTTTTCTCTGGTTTTGTGTTTTGTAGCTAGCTTTAGCAGTGTCACTGTTTCAATTAAGGACGTATTATTAGATTTTGATAGTAGATAATGTGAATGAGATTTAAGCATTAAATCTTGCTCATCTCCGACGGATTTTTTTTTTAATTTACATTTGTCATGATTGTAGGTTTATAAAGCTAATCCTGACTTCATAACTGCTTTTTAAATAACATGCACTAATGAGATTACTCATATCAAATCTCACAGTTCAAGTTATTTGTCTATTGAACCACTTGACTTTTACAGGAAAGTAAAGCGGAATGACTTTGCAGTCAATATTTAGTGCTAAACTTCAACCTAGTATGGTACATGCATTCTAGAGAGCAGTGGAAAATTTGTCAGTTGAAGGATTCCTTTAAAACAAATTTAGTACTTTTCAGTAGGCAGTGAATCTTTAAAAAGCTAGTAATGTGTGTGCATGTATATTTAGAGATCACACTGATATCACACTGGTAGTTATTTGTATCATCTGACTTTAACTAAGTCACTGGTGGCAGTAAGATTTTGCATAGGTTGTGGTTTTTTCTACATTGTCTGTTACTAACTTTTTGTTCCTTTTCTGGCTGAAAGCACACACTGCTTTCAGAAAACAGTCTTATTGCTGCAGTGTTGAAAGAGTTAATCATACAGTAATATTAATTTTAGTCATTGATGCATTTTTTTCAGACTCCAACAGTATGTGTTTTACACACACCAGAAGTTTTATAAACATCTTGGACAGAAGTTACATGTGAAATTAAACATTAACATTTATTGACTTGAGACCACAGTGTGAAAATTACAAAACTCATGTTATTTGTTTAAATGAGAGAGCGCACAGCTTCCATCGAAAGTATCCTGTTCTAGATGAGTCAGCTGCTTCCTAAGAAGAACTCCTGTACTTATACATGTGTCTAACAAAGAAAATTTCAGAACAGGTGTAACAAGGTTATTTGAACTTACTGCAAGCTATATATTTCCTGGCTTTTGAAAATATTTTCCCACTGTCAGTGTTTCTTTGTGGAGAGTGCCACTGTTTATCAGCAATATCATAATATGAGTGCAGAATGAAAGGTTGTCGAACAAAGATAACAGAAGGGAGACATTGTGATCAGGAAGTGTATGGGGAAAGTTTCATGTCTTTTTGAGGTTTTTCTCCTTAGCACTATTATTACAAATTCTGATGGCGTTTCACTGAAGATGTTACTGGCAAAATGATAGAGGTCACTGAACAGTTTTTTTTCTCTTGACAATGTAAGTCTTCACCTGACACGTTAATATTGGTTGTTTTCACAGTTGCACAACAAGAAGCTGAACTTGTAAAGGATCTCAGCTCATCACTTAGCACAGCTTCTCCAAGAGGCCTGCAAATTAGTAGCAGTTTTTCTGAAGTACCTATGCAAAAAAGTTCAGTGATGTCTCCAGCAGATCAGTTTGCCAGTGTTGCAAGAACATCAATGCGAATGCAAAAGCTGAAACAAAAACTTGATTCTGTAATGGTAAGTCATTTTTTTCTAATGCAGGAGTATGCATTTTTCTCAAAGTTCATATTCTTAACTTATGTAGCAAAACATATGTGTATAGTCTTGAGATCTCTTCAGAAATGAATACGTATTTCTGTAATGTTGTTGCACCTCTGACTAACTCTTTAGAAGAGATCAATCACATAAAGCTTAATTCTTGTTGTGGTTTTTTTTTTATCAATTACTGGTGGTTAGGAATGGATTTTTTCAACACCCATTGTCGTTCACGCTATCTACTCTCTGGATCACTGTAGCTAAACTTTAGGAAGGTTGTTGGTTGTTATTTCTTTTCATCTATTCACCTATAGAACTATGTTTGGCCTAAGAAACAGAAGTTTCATGTCAGGGGACTGACTGTGTAGGGCTCAACTGTGTGGAATGAATTGCCTTCTGTTGGGTGCAGCCATTTCCAGTAAGCTCCACAAAAGCAGTTTGGACCCACTTCACGATGAAACTGGAAATGATCAGAAAAGCATATGGTACCTCTAGAAAACCATTAAGGAAAAATATAGCTGCAAGGGGCAGGAGGCGCCAGCAGAAGGTGCAAAGGGAAGCACATGAGGAGGCATATTTGGAAATAGAGAAGAAAGGATTTGAGGAAGAAACATAGAACCATGCACAAATAGAGCTACAGGATGAGATAATGGAAAAAGCACAAAGAGAAGCGCAAGAGAAGGTGTGTGAGGACATGAGAAAAGATAGGAGTATGTACATCCCTGAAAGAACTGCAACCCGTGAGAAATCCCTGCTGGAGCAGGTACAACTCCTGAGGGGACTTTGACCTGTAGAGGACCCACACCAGAGCTATTAAAAAGGGTAAGAAACAGTGACAGACCAAGAAATACTGCTAGTCACTAACCCATCTCCTCCACTATGCATTGCTTTACCAAAGGGACTAAGTGTAACACAGCATTAAAATAAGGCAGCTAGAGACTACAAAAAGGGAAGAAGAGATGTTTCAAATGAAGTTGAGGCAGATAAAGAGGAAGGAGAGATGTTTTCTTTTAGTGTTTTTTTTACTGCCTCGGTAGTTTCTCAGTATCTGAATTGGTAATTAAAAGCTTTTGTAATTGACAATAAATTTAAGTAAGCAAAATTCACCAACTTGAGGCTACCTCGCTTTTGACAAGAAGGCAAAATATTTCAAGACTGTGCAGTTATAATTAATATTCACAATTACACGAACTGCATTTGGGTTTCCATGTATTATTTTTCACTTTAAGTACTTTTGAGTGCATGTTGATTTTTACGTAGCCTTAGGCTTTGCCTGCATTAATAATAGTGGTCATTAGATTAAGGTACTTGCTACTGAGGACCCTGTAGCTATTCTCATCAAATTAGAGGTTTTCATTAGAATTATATGTAGTCTGGTTCTCTGGCCTATACATCCCCATTATGCTTGTGTTTTGAAACTATCCAAAGGAAAGCTATCTCAGCCCTGTGATTTCTGAACTGCCATCTCTTAGTGGACCTCATTATAAAATGCCGTAATAGAGCATGGCTAGTGGTAGCATGTGACTGCTATCTGTACATCTGGCCACACATAAGTAAGCAAGTCTTGTTTATGTTTTGCCTATTTTGTTCTTCCTCTACAAGTGAGCCCTAGTGCCTTGAAGTTTATTATGGGAAATGAGAGACATAGTATGAAGATAATCAAGCGTCTAATTTTGCATTTGGGGAAAGTTCTTTAGAAAGACTTTCAAGGAGAAAAGATTCTTGCTCTTCTGCATGTCTTCATCTGAGGAAGAAGATGGGGATAATAAATTTCTTGGAGTTTTTTTGTTGTTGCAGAAAGAATTCTGGGTTCTCGGAGACAAATCTGTTTTAGTAGAGTCATGTGATAGACTACAGAATGATGATTGTGAGCTTTTAGTATTGGTTTCTGTAAAGTACACTGAGATCTTCTGTCAAGAATTTTGCACTACGTGTTTCCTGTAGTTAAATGAAACGGTGTAAACTTACTGTGTGTTTAAGAGGATGACTTTCAGCCGCTGTCGTTTTGTAATCCTAACCTCCCATTTATAAATGACAGACCAGTTCAAGATGAACAAGTCCACTGTTAGCAGAATTGTGACCAAAGTCTTGGACAGCATCCTCCAAGCCCTCTGCTTGTGGACCATATATTAGGGATATTTTAGAAAGGTCATCTGAGCCCTTTCACTGCATGGGTTTCTAAACAGTGCAGGATGGCATTTGGAAAAGTCCACATCCAGTCTGACGTCTGTCCCAGAGCAATGTTGTTTACTGGAACTTGGAGACCTTCCTTGCAGAGATTTATGAACAACTGAGGTCTTGGGTAGAAATTTCTTTTCATCTGAAGGACTTGTGATGCTTATATTTTCAGCAGTCTATCAGGAGAACCAGTAGGGACCTCATTTCCAGTGAGAAACAGGACATTTATTGTATGCAGCTGCAGTATCTGTCAGCCTTATTAGGAATCTGATATCTGCTAGGGTGAGTAAGGAAGTTCCACTTGTGCACAAGTAGAACCTGGATACTTGCAGCACTTTATTCTTTCAACATAATGATTGTCTAAGTCTTCCATTAGGTAGAAACAGTGGAATACTGATTTGATAAGTGATAACCTTTGTGATTTATCAGCAATAGCAGTAACATTGCAAATTTTTCCTGACTTATTTCTACAATTTGATTTCATCAAACTCACCACCCAGCACCTCACTGTGCTCACACCCACTGTTTGATCTCCATAAAAATTCAGCATCAGTGAATGTTAATGGGTGCAATTTTTTCTGCATGGAGGAATTCAGTAACACAACACATGTTTGCTTCATATACACTTCCATGCCAGATAAAATTTTGTCAGACTGCCCCTCTGCTGCCATCTGTCACACAGCAACAACATGTAACAGAATATTGGTGGGAAGGTTCAACCTCTGCTGTCATACCACTAACCCCCACCTTTGATGTCATGGGCCAGTGCAATAAAATAGGTGGCATTGATTTTGGAGCAGCACTTGTATTGCGTATTTCTGCCTTGGGGAATTAATGCTAAGGTACATTTATGTTCTCAGAAGTTTTTGATAGAAAAACAATCCCTCTTCAGACATAGAAGGATCACTTAAATGCTTTTCTTTCAGTGTTTATGTACTTAAAATTTCACTTAAGCCTATCAATCAAAATATGTGTTTCTATCTTTTCATAATGAGGGTAATATATGATATGTAAATATGGAGAGAAGTGCTTCTTGTAGAGGTATCCTAGCTGTGAATTTTTTTGTTTTGTTTTTTTTGGGGGGGTCAAAAATTCCATGCAATAACTTGAAAGAGAAGAAAAAAATCTTAACAACAGCATCTGTTTATACTCTGTAGTACTAATCCTGGAATCAATTATATGTTGTCTACCTCATCTCTTAGTACGTGAATGATTCTAAATTAAGGATGCTTGGATTTTCCAGTCATCTTCATGGCATATTTCTGTGTAAAAATACTATGAAAATGTTATAGAAGTGATTGCCAAAATTCTGTTACTCAGATTTTTCAGTGCAATATGTGGAATTCTTTCCTATACACAGAACTACCAATAACTGTTTAGTGGTTTTTTTTTTGGTTCTTTGACCGTATCACTTCACCCGAATTCATCGAGAGAGTGGGTACTGGGAGAACATCCAGAAGTATTCTACCTCAGGTTACGTTTAATATATAGAACTTTGATGATTAAGCTGTATGACTGTATTTTGATATCTGATACTTCTGGTATGTACTATTTTTCTTTCCATGACTTTCACTTCATATAAAAAATATGTCAGGCATGAGAAATGTATTGCAGTCATTTTCTGGCATAAATCTGTAGCCATTGTAACTATTTTATCTGAGGATGAATTAAGGAGATGATAAGTATTTTAATGTTGTGGATTTTGCTGATTGATCCCTTAATTTTATTTATTAAAATTAGTTTTCTTGCCATTAAAGTTTGTGTAGTATTAAAAAAAAATGTCACTCACTGTTTGTTTTCTCCCTGCTGAACAAAGATGACGGGGATATCTGAGCAATGTTATTTTTATTCAAATCATAGAGCAGAGAAAGCTTGGCTCACTCATACTGGTAAAAGAGAACAGATTATATCTGCTTGTGCAAACTGCCTCCAAATCACCAAAACGTGGAGAAAGCAGCTTTTGTTAACAAGGACATTTTATGCAAGAAAAGACCATAAATGTACACTGATTCAATTCACTTTCCTTCAACGTGTTGGGTACAGGAGGAACACAGTTTGTGGCTCAAATACTGAAATACTGTAAACCAAGAGGAGTGTGGATGCCCCTTCCTTGGAGATGTTTAAGGCCTAGTTGGATGGGGCCCTGGGCAGTCTGATCTAGTACTTGATCTAGTGGCTGACAACCCTGCCAGTGGCAGGGGGATTGGAACTTGATGATCCTTGAGGTTCCTTCCAACCCAGGCCATTCTATGCTGATTCTGTGATATGTAAGAATAAACCTCAATGGCTTTTTAATAAGGTTTTGCAAATTCCTTTTATTTTTCTGCTAACTGGAGTAAGCAATTTCTTTCTTATTCAAACAAAAAGAGATTAACTATGGATTTACATTCAAAAGTGCTGCTTTATTATGAGGAAATTGTCAGGGTTTTTTTTGTTGTTGTTTTTTGGTTTTTTTTTTGCTTTCTCTAAATGTGCATTACAGTTAATCTCTGGAGTAAGCAAATGAAGAATAGTCAACATAAATTAGATTACAATTTTTGTTTATGTGCTTCGTTTTAGAAGCAACGTAATGAAATGCAAACTGGTTTCTAGAAATTCACTTTTTTGTGGTCTAGAATAATTGGGATGATAATGAAGTTTTCACCAGGAAAAAAACAAAAACAAACAAACAAACAAAAAAAACCACCTTTTGGACATCTCTGGAAAAGCAAAGAAATCAGAAGTTCTACCTAGAAAAAATTTATATGTGGTAGGAAAAACCTAGAGTCTAAGCAAATGCTTTGGTAACAGTGAATTAACGCTGGGAAGGAGTTTACAAATGTCTGAGTATTTACAGAGTTACCTGAATCTGCATGCTGTGTTTAGGATTATGTCCTAATGGCTTTTACCATCAAATGGAGAGGAATTGTTTTCTATACATATTCAAGCATCTGTGAGTCAAAGAGTTTCTGTTGTCTGTTTTCTTTAGAAGGAGGAGACATAAAAATCTTTGGGTCCATTTTGAATGAAATGCAAGTTACATCTATTTTCATTTCCATGCAAAGGTTATTTGTTTTCTTAAACTAGTAAAGAAAAGTCATGGATTTTTTTTTTTTTATCCCACCGTATTTTTGATAGCAGGAATCAAAACCAACCTTGATGGAGTCCACAGTTTATGTATAGCCTACAGGGTTTTACTGTGCTAAGATCTAGTTTTTACTACTTATGCTGATACCCTCGGCCAGTTCTGCTATCATGTATTTCCATGCATGTTTGTATGCTGAAGAAATACCAGTTTTCTCCAGACCAGGAAAGATCATACTCTGAGTATGACTGAGTGAAGCTGCATAGCATAGCCTAGAATTAACTGTGTTGTACCTTGAACAAAGAATTTGGTTTTCTTTGTGGCTAAAAGAAAGAAGCTTAATACTTTTAATTCTTAACAACAACAACAAAATCTTAAAAAGGAAGAAAGGTTTTGCGGTAAGCCTGTCATTGAAATGCAGGAACTCTGTGGCGTTACTGAGCAATGGAATATATATAATTGCTGTGAGCTGAGACACATCTGCTACAGACAGTGGCTTTGTCTGTACTGAACAAAACTGAAAGAGTAAGAGGTGGTATAGAGCTGGCCAAATTGATTTGACTTGCGAGTAAGCATGTATATATGGAAATCTTGCTTTGTATTGATTAGAAAGATCATAAAATTGCATGGAAAAAAAAATAAAAAGGTCCTTGTCAGCATGTGAAGTTTTACAGTATTCTGTTTTTTTGTCTCTCAGAATTCACTTTTAATGTAAAAACTAGTTCTACTGAAAGTGCTCATTTGCATAATTTGCATGGAGCTTCCCATACACAAAAAAAAGAACAATGTAAAACAGCTTTGTTAAAACTTGGCAAAAATTATCTAGGTATCCTTTTATTGCTACAAAAACTACACAAATGTTATAACTCTAAGTTTTACTCAATTCAGGATAGTAGCAAACTGTGTCTTTGATAAAACTGCGGTTTTTGCATGAAGCAAGCAAAGTCTGTTGTGAAAAATAAGTAGATTGATGGTTGGTCATCTTAGCCAACTTTGCTCGTTGTTGTAAAGGTATTTAGCAATGTGTTCCCTCAGCATGAATTTAAAAAAAAAAAAAAAAAAGTGAAAAATTGCTTCACTCTACTCTGTAGCCTTCTGTGTCTGTTGTAGGAAAATTAATTAATTACTTTTTGTAAAACACCATACTTTACCTAGAAACACCAATGTGAATCATCAGTTCTCATTTTAAAGCTGAATGACTCCTTTCTCTGTTATAGTATTGTCAGCAATTTTTTTTTTTCTTTCCGGACCTTTTATGAGATTTAAATAGCACTTGTGAGCATGGCACTGAGGTCATAAAAACTCATATTCTGCATTTAGTTCAGATGGGCAGTCTTGTATATTTCACCTGCAGTGAACTTCCCCGCTATTAAGGGGAGGAATGCATCACTCTTGTCAGATTTCTTACATTTAAAATGGAGGTGTCCAACCTTTTGTTTTGCCTCGGCCTCCCTGAGTGAAGAGGAATTGTCTTGGGTTGCATATAAAATACATGATATAGTCAACGTATGTCATAGAAAACAAGGGCAACAAAAACATAAAATGAGGAGATCAGACATGTATAATTTAAAACTTCGTTAAATCTCACTTTTATATAAACATAGTGTTTTCTTCCTTTTCCTCTTGCTTTTAGGGACTTGGAGGAGAATAGTAAGCTAGATCTTGTTTTGTGTTTTTAAAAAGCTGATTTTCTTAAATCTAAAGGAGCACATTCACTTCTAATGTATGTGTCTAGTGCATTTCATTTAAAAGCATATGTAATGAGTGTTTGGGCAATACAACAGGAAAATAAATAAATAAGGGAAAATAATAATAAATAAACAGGAAAATAAAAAATAAATTCATTAAAATGAATTAAATGCTGCACAGGTATATTTTACGTGTGTTTTGTATCTCTCACATAATATGATTCAAGCACCACAATCAAGACAGTTTTCTTTTGATTCCCTCCCCCCTCTCTGGGATGAGCCAGAGAAGTGTTTCTAAGAGCTATTTTTAAATAGTTTGCTCTGCCATGCTTTGTTTGATTACCAAAGGCTGATACATTTAATCTGTCTTTATTCCCTGTTGTATTGGGAACTAATTGTTTGCTGTCAGAGGAATTCCAAAAAGTTTCATGACTGTTCTTAACTGGAAAATATACTTTTGTTCCATTGATGATGGGAAAAAAACCATAATGTGCGCCCATCACAGAATTCATGCAGGGGACTGATCTTCTAATTTGTCTTCCTCCAGAAGTGCCCCCACTGGAGTTAACAGTCAGTAACAGGAAATGAAATGCTGGGAAACTTTGCTCCACATGTTTTCATAACAAGATTGCTTTTCTGTATTTGAGTAAAGACATAAGCTAATGGCTTCCTACTGTATTTGTGTGTATCAGAGAAAACTTCATATTAATGAAACTTAATTGCTTACGTATGTAAATTTTGCAAAAACAAGATTGGTTCTGGTGTTGTTCAGAACAGTCCTTGCCATTCTACTTGCATTGCACAATTGCTGCTTATTGACATTCAGCTAAATTGACTAATACCTAAATGTGTTAATGCTTTTATATCATGTCTACTGATTGTTCTGGTTGCCCAGAGATGTGGTGGATGCCCATCCCTGAAGACTTTCAAGGCCAGCAGCCTGATCTGACTGTGGATGTCCCTGTTCATTGCAGGAGAGTTGGAAGGAACCTTTAAAGGCCAACTCCAAGGATTCTGTGAATCTTTCTGTCCAGTTTTGGTATATAGTCCTAAGACTTATATGCAGTTGCTAAGAGGGTACAGTTTTTATCAGGTGCTTCTTTCAGTACAGTTAAATCCATTTTACTACATAGTATCCAAATATAGTTGCATTAAGGTCTAATATAATAATGCAGAAGAGATGACAGAATCATAGAATGGCCAGGTTGGAAGGGACCTCAAGGATCATGAATCTCCAAAGCCCTGCCACAGGCAGGGCCACCAACCTCCCCATGTAATACCAGACCAGGCTGCCCAGGGCCCCATCCAGTCTGGCCTTGAACACCTCCAGGGACGGGGCATCCACAACCTCTCTGGGCAGCCTGTTCCAGCACCTCACCACTCTCTGTAAAGAATTTCCCCCTGACATTCAACCTAAATCTTTCCTCCCTCAATTTAAAACCATTTCCCCTCGTCCTACAGTTATCAGCCCTTTCAAAGAGTTGATTCCCCTCCCCTCTGTAGGCTCCCTTTAGGTATTGAAAGGCTGCAATGAGGTCACCCCTCAGCCTTCTTTTCTCCAGGCTGAACAATCCCAGCTCTCCAGCCTGTCTTTGTAGGGGAGGTGCTCCAATCCCCTGATATCTCCGTGGCTCTCCTCTGGTGTACTGTGTCCAGAAGAGAAAACAGATATCCTCCGTGTCTCAGTCAGGTTGCTCAATGTACATGATTGGAGCTGTATTACCTTCAACTCAGAACATCTGCCAAGGGCCAAATAGTTGGCCACTTTTATCAAAACCCATTGAACTGTTTATGATATGACAGAAATGATACTTAGACAAATTATACCACTTCTGGAAATAAGTCTCTGACTCTCTTTGTTCTGGCTGTCTCCATTTGTTTAAATAGAATTTAAAAGCCAATAGATTGAAAATTAGAAAAATGTCACTGTGATATTTTGGCCCCCCAAATGAAGGTTAAGGGTCTGATTAAAGATTACTGAAGCCTAAGAAAATGCATCTCTAATAGTAGGGTTTTAGTTGCATTAAGTGACTATACTACATTGTGTAATGGGCTTCGTTTTTGAAAGGGTTAACAGTAATGGTTTATTTAATGTAAAATAACTCTCCCCAAAATTTTAGTATTCAAATATTTTTGGAGGGGAAAGTTTCAAATATTTTAAGATCTGTTTTTCCCTCACCTTTGGCCAGTTTACCAAAGGAAGCTAGATAAAACATTTAACAAATAGTGAAATTCTTTATTTGATTATGTGAAAACCTCTGATTGTCATACATTTTGCATAGCCTCTATGGGATAATGTATTGAGTAAGGTTTGGGAAAGGTTTATGCATTGCACTAGCTTCATGTATCCCAGGAAATACCACAGCAAATCAAATTTTAACTACATTAACTTTGTTATTATGGAAATTATGACTACATGTATTTTTTGTGTAGCTTGCTTGAAGGATGTGTCTGGTATTTTGGATAAAGTATACTCTATTGACTTGCAGAAATAAGTTTGGTGTTAGGATTGATTTAAGACTTTTTTTTCATCTCAGACTAATATTATGTAATCTCTTCTTAGATGTTGCATTGTTTGAGTACAGAAAAGTGAGAAGTTATTTTAAATATTGCAGTTTATAACTGTATATAAATGCCATTTAATTTTGATATACTAAGATGCAACAAGATGATAATTCAGACTTTTTTTTACGCTTTTCACTACTTGAGAATTTTTGTCTCCAAAAAAGTGCGATTTGTTTTGTGTATTTGTCAATACATTTTCCACAACTAAGTGTTCAAAAAACCTACCCATAGAAATTGCTATTTGCCATCTGCTTGTCTTGTATTTTTTCCTATGTTTTAATAATTCTTTAAAATGAGTAATTGTTTCTCTACATGATATTGCATCAGGTAACCCAGGAAATTACACGTTGGTTTCTGATTTGTCTTTCCTATTACAGACAAGCTCAAATCTCTTGCTTCCTGCTACATCATCACTGTCACCGCACTCTAAACTAAGACTGCCAAACACTTTGAGCACTCCATTGAATCCTCTGTATTCTTTCTCAGGTAAAAGCGGTAAGTTTCTTTCTTTATATTATTACTCTCTCTAGCAAATATGCCAAGACTTCCGTGATATTTTTTTTTCTATCTTTATAAATTTTGCTTTGTAGCTCTTCCAGGGAGTGGCTAGTTTGTTAAATGCGATTATCACATTCCACCCGTGAAGGGAGAGATATGTGACCAGATTTGTAAATCCCTTCAGTTAGATTAAGGTGAAAAGCACTTGGAGTCCAAACACAATCATCAATTTTAATGAGAATTTCTACAATGCAATTACCTTAAAAGTATTGGCACTCTTACAGTTGTATTTATCTAAGCTTTGCAGCTAACCTATGCAACTTGATAGAGCCTTGTGTTAGCAGCTTTATTAGACTGGGAAAAAACAGGAGAAAGAGAGAAAGAGATGGACTGAGTAGGTGATCCCTGGCCAGGTACCAGCATTTACCTAGCTAGTGGTGATCCTCTGTCTGTGAGAATGCTCATCCAGAAGTCTCACCTTTTCTTGGGAATTCTTGTATGCCTGCTAGTTTTTGGGGTCCACAATTATTATCAGTTGGTCACTCTGTCCTCCTTGAATGTGGGAATTTGGGCCAGAATGAGACCACTGGATCTCCAAGTGCTCCTTCCTCCAACCACATCCGTGAGCTGTTTGTCCATTGTCATGGCAATGGTTTTATCTCACACGTATTTGAGACAATTCCAGGCATACCACAGACAGAGTTTCTTGTAGATCTGCTACAGTGATACTGTATTTTTCTTTAAGTTATAAATCTATTTATTAGTGCTGTAAGTTGCTAGAACTTTTCTTAATTTAACATTGTGTTTATCTTGAACACAGGAACTGCAAAACAATGAAATCATATATTTAAAATCTTACATATTAATGTAGAAAACCAGCAATGAGAAAAGTAGTTTATTTAAGAGCAGTACTGCTCAGTAGTCTGTTTGCACTTGGATTTTGTCTACATTTAAGAGATGGTTTTTTTTTTTTTTTGTTTTTTTTTTGTTTTTTTTTTTCTAAAACATCTCGTGTTCAAAGATTTTGAGAAACATATGTGCAATGAACCTGTGTGTTTTTGTGGTGCTTATTTACCACAGTGGAATCTTAGTTTCCAAGCGTTTCTGGTTTTGTATCTTTGAGAAAAGTAAAAAGAAGTCTGTGAAATGGTGACCTGGAGAAAGGTGACGGATTTAAAATGTTGATTGTAGAGAAGGCAATGGTATCTATAATTATACAGAATTATCTCCTAAAGGGAGATCATTTTCTTTGTGAATCATGTTTGGACTACATGATGTATTTAGTAAGAATGAGTCCTTAGCATGTACCAGAAGATGAACCAGTCTTGCAGTCACTTTTATCTTCAGCACAAATGGTTAACTACCAATTAAGTTCTTCGTTTGTTTTTCTATTTTAAGAAAAGAGCTGTTAGAGCCATGATAATATCCTTGTATTTCCGAGCAAGTGTGTATTGTTTCTAGCACATGAAAATCTTACAGAAAGAGGATACCTATTCTTTCTTGTGCTTATTCTGTTGTTACTTGTTAAAATAAGTGGTTACAATAAGTGGGCTAGTCCTCTAAAGGACTTGAACATATACTTTGTTTCAAACATGTATATGTAATATTGCTCAAAGCAGCTCTCTTGGAGCTCGCAGAAGAGCAAACGTGTTGATGGAGAATTCTTAAATAGCATGCTCAAACAGATACGTGCTGAGATGTTTGTGTGCTTCCAATGTAGTTGTTGCAGAAAATGACTAATATCGCAACAAAATCCTCAGATACAGAGTGTTAATTATGAAGTAGAAGTATAGTAAAAAGAAATACATTTTAATGGGCTTTCTTCAGTCAATGAAGACAGTAAGAAAATGAAGTTTTCTAAGGGAAAAAGATGATGAAAAATTCAGTGGCACGTGAATGAAATAGATTTCCTGTAGGAAAATTTGAACAAGTCCTAAAATGACTTTTATCTGTCATTTTGGAGACTTTCAAGTTCTACTGATGTGACAGAATTATCGTCTTTGAAATGCAGGAGTAAGCTCTACTCACCTAGTTAGTCTTTCCCCATTTGTTATTTAATGTGCTTTTAGCTATGAACTGCTAATTTAATTTCACTTTTGGACATGATACAGTATATACTAAACCAGATCTACTTATTTGTAGAATGGGCTGGAAGAAGAAAACCTTTTTTTTTTTTTTTTTTTTTTTTTTTTAAATGTACATATGCACTATTTCCATATCGTAAAATAATACGGTGTCATTAATTGCCTGTAATATAGGAACCACTCACTTTTATTTAATGCATGTTAGCCTCTTCCTGAGGGTTATGCTGGCTGTTACTCTCTCCTCCTCACATTTTCCTGTCACCTTTTTGCTGTGTATGTAATGCATATCCAAACAAATTGCAGAATGCCCATTGCAGTGGAATCCATTAAGTCTGTACCTGCTATATGTTCTTGTTCTATTAACATTGCAGTTACATCTTGAAATATGGACAGTATGGTAGCCTAGGTACATGCAGCACTTTATTATTTTAACATAACAAGTGTCTAGGTCTTCTGTTAGGTAGAAACAGTGGAAGAACTGAATATTTAACTTTGTGACTACCAGCAATAGCAGTAATACTGGAAATCTTTACTGACTTTTAAATCTTGTTATATCCAGTAGCGGCCAACCCCTGCTTCTCCGTCAGGCATTTGTACAGAGCAATAAGGCTGCCTCTGAGCCTTCTCCAGACTAAGTAATCCTAGTCCCCTCAGCCACTCCCCATAAGACTTGTGCACCAGACCGTTCACCAGCTGTGTTGGCTTTCTTTGGACATGCTCCAATGCCTTAATGTTTTCCCTATAGTGAGAGGCTCAAAACTGAACGTAACACTTGAGGTGCAGCATCATCACCAGTGCCAAGTACAGAAGCAGAAGATGTTGGAAAAGCCACCGCAGGGATAATTGTCTTGTGGCAGCCAAGCATTCATAGTGATATGACTTTTTGATCCTTCAATTTCAGTTCTTCCTATTATTGTGAAGCAAAATTCACCAAGCATTGTCCTGTTCATCCATTAATAGGGAAAGTGAGACTGGTTAATTTTGATAAAACAAGTTGAAAGTTGCAAAAGCACTAGCTTTCAATTGTCAGTTTACTGTTGTTAAAATCTTCAATGTTTTTGTTTGCCTTGCCTCCTTAATATTTTAAGCATTTTTGGATGGTGAAGATACTCTCCTACACACAAAGACATGGTTTTGTAGATGTCGTACCGTGAGAAACTGGCTTACATTTTATGGCTGTATTCAGCAGTGTCTCTTCAATAACTCTCACTGTGTTCAGAGACTGTTTTCTGAAATAAATTCAGTGTTATAAGTAATTATAATAAGTGGTGACCCTAATTGTTAACTATGTGGGAGACTGAAACTCAACTATAAGTATTGCATAGATCCTTTCACTAAAAACTTGACTTCAAAAACCAGTTAATTAAACTTGCTTTTAAAAATTAATTACATTATGTGCTAGAAACGTGATGGTTCTTGTATCTTGAAAAAATCTCAAAAACAAAAAAATGCTTTGGCAAGGTTGAGAATAATTAGAAATTTTCCTCCATTAACACAACTGACAGTCAAAGGTGTTTTCCACCTATATAAAGCAAGAGCTTCAGAGTGGTCTTGCTCATTCCCTGAAGTTGTAAGCAAAACTGACTTTGTATTTAAGTCTTCCATTTTATTTGATAGACTGTTCAATATTCGTCTTTTCAATCGTAACTGGGCAGTAAATTTCTGTTTTGGACATGAAAAAATATATTTGCGTCGATTAAGGACTTTTAAATTTCACTTTTGTAGAAGTAGATTTTAAATCAAGTACATCATGTAACAAAATTCACATTTTTGTGGAGTCACTGAAGTGTCAAAAGTTATATCCTTACAGATATGTTAGGATCACACCTTTTTTTTTTTTTTTTATTTTAATGTTTTACATTTCTTTCCCAATGCTATAACATCTGTCCAAGGAGGTTGTGGATGCCCCATCCCTGGTGGCATTCAAGGCCAGGCTGGATGTGGCTCTGAGCAGCCTGGCCTGGTGGTTGGTGACCCTGCAGCACATAGAAGGGGGTTGAAACTCTATGATCCTTGTGGTCCTTTTCAACCCAAGCCATTCTGTGATTCATTGCTACCATTACAATGCTTGGAGACTCTAATGATTTATTGGTTTTTTGGCAAATATTTTCCTTACTTAAAACGTAATTCTGTGAAGCAAGGATGTGTATAGAAAGCAGGTTCAGTGTGGCCTTACTCTTTGCAACTCTGAGGAAGAAACTACAGACTTATGGAAACTATCATTAAAAATGTATCAAATGAGCAATGAATTCAGTTTTACTATTTGAGTAGCTTGCTTCACTAATGTGAACATAAACGACAGTTCATTAACTTGAAGAGACTGAAGAGATATTAAAGAGGTGACAGAATGCATATGAATTGAAGAATATATGTACACTGTGTTGTCCCAATACAACATGCAGTGCAATATTTGTAGTGTATCTCTGATGTTTGAACAGAGTTTGTTGGCATTTTCAAAGAGAACTGAAAGTGCTGGTTAACAGACAGAAGATGACTAAGAGAAAGCATGCCGTACAGCCAGTAGCAAGCACTGCAGGCTTTCCCACACTGCTGTACAGAAGTTATATAATGCCAACCCTGAAGGACTGTTTCTGTTTAGTGGGAGTGCCAGTACAAGTGCCATTTAAGAGGGGTCTGTTTACAGGGGCCTGATTCATGCAAGCAAACTGAATGGCATGTGCATCACTGAATGTCTTTTATATATATATATATCTCTCTCTTAGCACTACTGTAAGTACTGTACTTTAACAGATTTTATATTAGAAATAAAATCTCTGATGTTTTTGTTTTTTTTTTTTTTAAGAAATAATTTAAGTGTGTATAAAAGACTTACTATGAAGAAGATGAAGTTAAACAAAGAAATCAATTTTGTCTTGAAAAATCTGGGCGGATGCAGTCCCTGTTAAACTTCAG